TCTTGCTTTCACCGCCGACTTGATTATCCCCCTTTCCTCTGACCGCCAGGCGAGTTGCTCGCCGGTGCATTGCTGCGGATAGGAACTGCAACGGCCCGAACGAGGGTCGCGTGGTGTGGCTGCAGCAGCACTGCTAGTGGTTGTGGTAGCAGGTGTTGCTGTACCCGCCGCAGAGCTCTTCCTGAGATGACCGTCTCTAGTGCTGCTGCTGTTGACGTTGTAGTTGCTGTTATTATTCTTAGGAAAGTTTACTGACTTTGCCATTGCCGTGCTTGCCCGGCGGAGCTCAATCTTCTTTCGTTCCATCTCGAGCTATTCCCGTTAGTATATGGAATAGCAGTAGGGATGTAATGGCGAACTGACCACTTTGCGCACTCTGGTGAGGGCAGTACCGGCTACCTCGTCTCTGCCAGCCAAGTTAAGAGTCTTACAATCGCCCACGCCATACGGAGCAGCAATCACTACCGAGTCAGCAACGACAATGCTAGTCCCGCTCCAATGAGTTGGCATTGTCCGCTTGAATGCATCAAACAGGTCCTGAGCCTCCTTAGACACTCCCTTACCCCTCGAGGAGTCATGGTCCTTTTGACGGGTGATGGCGTTAGTCTCGCGGGTCCGTAGCGCCCGGATGTCAAGCGGGTAGATGGCGGGTTGGGCGGATGTGAAGGGCCCACCAGGCGATGAGGGCGAGTCTGGGGCGAGAGAGAGCAGGTTGAAACTGTGGATGCGGGTGACGGGGAGTATAGTGAAGTCCCCTGGCTGCGAGAGGGCGAGAACAGGCGACGAGCTGCCTGTAGATGGTATGTTGGCGCTGGTGTTGATAGCGATTATATTGGTAATGGGACAGGCAGTGAACAGCGTTCCTTCGACCGTCACCGAGGCCGGCTGCGTCGTGGTTACGCGAATTCTACTCAATTAGCATAACATACCAATATATAGATAGGCGGTAGAATATATAATGGAATATAAGGGGCTTGAAAGACCAACCTAGCGCCAATGGCTGAGCTGAGGGCCTTCTCCAAGCTAACTGTCCCCGACGGCCCAAAACCATGGTGATCCTGACCCTGGCTCTGCTGCGACTTGCGCTTATTCTCCGTCGCCATCATGAATCGTCTGTCTCTTCTCTTCTCGTCGCAGTTGCTGATGGTGGTAGGTTGGGTCGCGTGCAGTCAATATACGGCGAAAACGCTCCAAAGGACGATTCCAGGTCCCGACAAGAGCAAGATGTCAAGGCGCAAACGATATGGATAAATAACACTAAGCAGATAAACGTATCTGAATACTGAGGTAGAGCTTGCAATGAGAGGAAAAGACAGCAAGCAAAAGAAGCAGAAGCAGAAGAATAGTATTAAAGTCGTTAAGAGAACAAGAACAAGTGGGCCAAGGGGAGCAGAAATGGGCATCGGCGAGAAACCCCGGTCGAGGAGAACAAGGAGAAGAGGAGGAGAAGAGAAGATGAAAGAGAAGACTGAAGCAAAGAAGCAAAGAAGAAGATAGAAGATTGTTTGAGTCTTCTGGAGGTCGAAAAGAAAGAAAAGTTGAAGTTGAAGTTGGGAGTTTTGTGATGCTTATGTAAGGATGACGTTGACGTTGATGTTGAAGTTGATATAGAAGACAAACATTATTAGATATTAAAGAGGCGACGGCAATGATATTAACGTAGATGTGGAAGTGTATTTTATCTATGCTATCCGAGTACCCTGAGCCCGCCCTTGGTCTTCTGTTTCTTGACGCCGCCGTCTGTTTTGCCCGCGGATGAGGACACAGGAGCGGGTGTGGAAGAAGGCTTGCTGTGTCCGCTTCCACTGTGATGATGGCCATGTTTGCCTTTGCCCTTGAGATGCTTCCCCTTACTCGCGCTCACTGGCCTGATCTCAGTCATAGCTCGTCTCAGCAGCACCGGGTGAGAGCCGATGTACTTGCCCTGCATCTCCCTGGCAGCCTTGAAGTAATCGTCGCCATCCGAGAAGCTGACAAAGCCGTACCCTTTGCTCTTCTCTGTTCGCTTGTCACGTATGACTCGTGCTTTTTGTACAGAGGGATACTTTGAGAAAGCCTTCAGTAGTGAGTCATCTGTCACTTCGCCGGCTAAGTTACCGCAAAAAAGTCGGAAGTGAGCTGGATCCCACTCCAGAAGCGTCGAGTCGGTCCATGTCTGGCCACCGCCAGATCGTACAACGGTCTTTGCGGGTTCGGTGGACTCCTGGCCTGGAACGGCAGCTAGGCCTTGGTTTGCGCCTGGTATAGGCGTGGTAGATGCTGCAGTCCCTGATCCTGTTCCATTGGGAGGTGTCGATGTGCTTGACGACGGATCATGTAGACGCTGGAAGGAGCCTATAGGCCCGCTGTTGGCTCCCGTAGCAGCAGGTCCTGAAGCAGCGGCAGTGCCTGCGGCGGCTTCACTACTGTCTTTGCTCATATATGCACTTTGCCACTGTGCTATCTGGGCATCCATCTCAGGGTCTCCAGACGACTCATTGTACCGCGATTGTCCTGACCGGGCTCCATATGAGCCCGTGTTATTGCGCTTTTGATATGCGTGGTGCTGGCCGTATGTAGTTGCGTTATACGGCCGCTGTGCCTGCGACTGCGACTGACCGTAGTACGACGTGGGCTGTGCCTGGTATGTCTGCTGCTGCTGCTGATGTTGTTGTTGATGATGATGCGGCGGTGGCTGGTGCTGGTGCTGGGGCTGGGGGTATTGATAACCCGCGCTATATACGGTAGGATATGCTGGTGCTTGAGACGCCCTGTACGACTGCGCGGCTACGACACGAGGCTGAAACCCGAATGCCGCACCAACAGCCGGTCTGGAGACATCTGGTCCAAGGCTGGGAGGCCTCGATACTGTAGATGGAGTAGTAGAGGAAGTTGACGGAGCTGTGTAAGCGGATGCGGTGGATGGCGGACGGGCGGGCAGCGAGGCCGGCGGCTGGGCCTGCGAGGCGGCTTGGGATGGCAGCGGGCGCTGGAGACCTGGAGGAGGCGGCAAGGACATGATGAACGGGTGCTCGACAGATACAGATACAGATACAGAGATGGATGGTAGAGTACAGAGATGTAGGTAGAGGCAGAGGGCTGCCGTCGAGTGTTCTGCAGGAGATGCTTGCAGCACACGTACCTTGAGTCCGATCAGCCACCAGATAGCTGAGCTTCTCCTGTTGTTCGTTCTCGCCTTCCTGTCTTGCCTTCAGCTTGCTATCTTCTTCTGCCCTTTTCTTCCTTTTCCTCTCTTGTTTTCTTCCTACTTCTTCGTCGTCTTCTTTTGCTGTTTGAATCTCCAACTTTTCGGCCTGAAGAAGTTTTGAAGTTCATATCACGTGAGATGACAAACCTATGAGTGAATGACAAATCATGTTGTTATTAATAAAGTGCTAATTTATAATCTATATTCTTATGTAAACATTACGTAATAGTTTCTCCTCGCAGCAACGAAAAACAAACAAAAGAAGAAGGACGAAGACGATGAAGACGAGATGAAGATGACGACCGCGAAATACGAGATAAGGCGAAGGAAAGCCGGCGGACGACGGAGGACGCCCACTGGACCAGGAGGCGGCAGGGATAGGAAGATGCACGCTCAACTCCTGGTCGCTGCAGGCCTCCCAAACCATCGAAACGCCAGGCCAGGATCTGATGCTGCCCCTCAGTGACATAATGGTGCATCCCAGATGCCTGCTCATCTCGTTTCTTCCCCCCTCCCCACCACCCCTTACTCGTCGCGGACGTCAAGCAGACTCGGGCACAGCGACGACGGCAGCACCGGACACGACACGGCGTGGCAGGGCCTGTAGAATGTCGAGCAGTGGATGGGCCGGTGGGCAGCGTGGGCAGCGTGGGCAAGCGAGGGGGTGGGATGGCCGGCAGCATACCTAGACGAGCAGCGTCAATTGGTAGAGCGAAGGCTGCGAGACACTGCAGTCTGCGGCCTCTCTATATAACTAGCTTGTGTAAATCAGTATCCAGCGGAGCGCAGCGTGCAACCAGACATCCTCCGCGTCCTGTGCTATATAGTCGAGTAGGTAAACAAGATCTAAGGCTTGAGTTCTGGACTTCCGCTTTAGTAATCTTCCCGCCGCCGCCAGCATTCTCCCCGCCTCAACCTCGACCTCAACGCCAACTCTGCTGCTTCACCACAGCTCCAGCTGCAGGAAACACACCTACAGACAGACGAACCGACACCAATTCGATAGCCTCTTTACCATGGCAGACCAAGCAGTGTAAGTCCGGGCTCTCTTCGTGCACACATATTCGTTTGATGGAGGCTGGCTGACCTGGGCCTGCCTGGCAGTGCTGACTTCGGCCTCATCGGCCTGGCTGTGATGGGCCAGAACCTCATCATGAACGTGGCTGACCATGGATTCACCGTCGTGGCTTTTAACCGCACAGTCGAGAAGGTCGATAGATTCCTTGCCAACGAGGCCAAGGGTAGGTCTTCCGTGCCATAGCTAGAGAGGGGAAGGGGGCAACTTGCGTGCTGATTGTTGAAACAGGAAAATCGATCGTTGGAGCCCACTCGGTGCAGGAATTCTGCTCGAAGCTGAAGAAGCCCCGTCGTATCATGCTGCTGGTTATGGCTGGCAAGCCTGTCGACGACTTTATTGAGAGCTTGCTCCCCTTCGTCGAAAAGGGTGACATCATTATTGACGGCGGCAACTCTCACTACCCGGACTCCAACCGCAGAACCAAGTACCTCGCCGAGAAGGGCATCCGGTTCGTAGGCACCGGTGTCTCGGGCGGTGAAGAAGGTGCTCGCTATGGCCCTAGCTTGATGCCCGGCGGTAACGAGGAGGCCTGGCCCTATATCAAGGATATCTTCCAAAGCGTGGCGGCCAAGAGTGATGGTGAGGCCTGCTGCGACTGGGTTGGTGACGAGGGTGCCGGACACTACGTCAAGATGGTGCACAACGGTATTGAGTATGGAGACATGCAATTGATCACCGAAGTATGCCGCTTTTTACATCTTTTCCCACCTTCATGTCCAGTCCGGATGCTAACTGCCACAGGCGTACGATATCATGAAGCGAGGTCTGGGTATGACCCCAGCTGAGATTGGTGATGTCTTCGAGAAATGGAACAAGGGCGTATTGGACTCCTTCCTGATTGAAATCACCCGTGACATCCTCCGCTACAATGACGACGATGGCACCGCCCTGCTCGAGAAGATCCTTGATGCTGCCGGTCAGAAGGGAACCGGCAAGTGGACTGCTATCAACGCTCTCGATCTCGGCATGCCGGTCACTCTGATCGGAGAAGCCGTGTTCGGCAGATGTCTCAGCTCGCTCAAGGACGAGCGTATCCGAGCCAGCAAGGTGCTCAAGGGACCCGAGCCGGACTTCAAGGGAGACCGTCAGGAGTTTATTAACAACCTCGAGCAAGCTCTCTACGCTTCCAAGATCATCTCCTACGCCCAGGGATTCATGCTTATTCAAGAGGTGAGCTCCCTTCACCAATTGAACTACCCCTTCCTCGAATGTCACTGAACTAAGCATCTATAGGCTGCTAAAGTATACGAGTGGAAACTGAACAAGCCGTCCATTGCATTGATGTGGAGAGGCGGCTGCATTATCCGCTCCGTCTTCCTCAAGGACATCACCAACGCCTACCGCACCAACCCAGATCTAGAGAACCTGCTGTTCGACGACTTCTTCAACAAGGCCATCCACAATGCCCAGGCCGGCTGGAGAGACGTAGTCTCCAAGTCTGCCCTCTGGGGCATCCCAACCCCTGCCTTCAGCACTGCTCTCAGCTTCTATGATGGCTACAGGTCGCGTGACCTGCCCGCTAACCTCCTACAGGCCCAGCGAGACTACTTCGGCGCCCACACCTTCAGAATCAAGCCCGAGCATGCGAGCGACAAGTATCCCGAGGGCAAGGACATCCACGTCAACTGGACAGGAAGAGGAGGCAACGTATCTGCCTCCACATACCAGGCTTAACTAACGCTTAGTCCTTCGTTACAGCAAGTTGAAAAATTTCGTGCTTGAGCTCTGATGAAATGAAACAAGGATGTAGAACAGGAGGATTTCTTTTATGTTTTCCCTACCTACAACGATATATTATGAAAGTTCTTTACCCCCCCTTTTTTTTACATGTCTTTCCTCGTTCCTTTCCTCTCACTCGTTCAACGCCAGGTTAGGGAGCAGTACCATCCACCATCCACCACGAGACCAGTCCAACTGTTTATGCGTAACTCATATTCATCTTGGTATCAACTCTGAAATAGGACAACGTAGGTAAATACATAAATGGGTAAGTCATGTATACGAAGATGAAGTGGTAAGTAGTCAAAAGAAATAAGATAGAATAATGTAAACAAATCGATCGTACTCCGTATTTAAGCATCCGTCTCAACAATCCAGCTCTCCACCATGGCCCGGACAAGACCCACTACCACCTCAACGCCCATCTCCACACTAGCTTTATCTGTCCAGCCAGGAACATGCAAGAACAGCGCTGCCCGTGGTCTGTTCTCCTCCCACGCCATTGACAAACTGGTGTAATAGATATATTCACACAGATAATGGCCCGCATCATGAGATAGGCGGACATCAATTGATCGTCCTGCAGGTAGACTTTTCCTCCACGTCTGCAAAAAGCCGGTATCAAGCGGTGACGGAACAACTTTCACCTTATCCGTAGACTCGGATGTAGATGCAGAATCAGAGGGTGTAGGAACACCCGGTTGTAGCCTCTCTGGCAAGGAGGGGTCAAACGGTATCCCAAATTGCCCATCTACATCCGTATGTTTGTACCCCTCTCTGTGAGCAACCGTCTCAACGGCATAGTACTGTCTGGTGGCAGCCATGCCGATGTGAATCACCAAATGAGGTGGACGTCCGTCGTGAGCGGCTCGGAACCCCTCGATGATACGAGGCATTTCCTCACGTACCGCGGCGTAGGCTACTCGGATCGGCCGTGGGTGGGCATGGATGTGGACTCGGCGGTTTTTGCTGGTGGTAGCGTATTGTGGGAGGAGAGAATTGATTAGCCATGAGGGATTGAGTGGGTGGGTTTTGAATGGCTAGATATCGTCAGTCGGTGACTTGATGCTCATTTTGGTTCTGGCTGTAGCTGTGGGGGATGGATTGAGGGGGAGTGGAATGCTTACGCCGAACCCAGTGACCAGGACGTGGATGTCGTCGTCCTCGGGGGAAACACGTTGTCCGGGGAGAGAGACGGGCTCATCGAGGGAAGAAGTGGCTCCGAAATCACCCATTGTAAGTAGATGGCAGGGTATACTGTGTTAATTGAGTGTGGATAAGTCGGTGGTGAGAGCGGTTGGTGTAGCCGCGTGAGGCAGTGCTAGTGGGAGAAGCCGAGGTTCCTGGCTATGACGCCACGACTAGAGAGATTTGGAATTCAGACGATAAGAGAGATAAGATGAGGAGATAAGATGACCAGCAGACGATGCTGAAGGGCGGATGAAGAGTCAGTGGCCAGAGGAGATGAGAGGCCAGTTATATAGCTCTGCCTCCAGCTGCGGTGGCTTGTCCAGCTGATGTCCGGCGCCGTTCCGCAGAGGATCAAGAACTGCTATGAATCTCTCTCCTGCTTCAAACAACCGTACGCACCTAGTTGACTATTTACTGTAACTACCTCAAATTTCTACAGGGTCTGGCAGATGACCGTCCAGGGGACCGGCTATCATCCTAATAATAGTTCATGCATTGCTGTTGACAGTACGGCTATCTCTCTGTCTAGCCTTATTTCCCCCGAGAAGTAAGAATAAAGTCCTCCTCCCTATCTGAGCAAACGAGCTTCATGGTGTTCGATGAGATGGCCGTAGATCATGGTTAGGGACATGGATCGGGCGGCCTCCGGCAGCAGGGATCGAGCTGGCTCTCCTACTATTTATATGCCTGGTTAGATGTGCGGCCGCATCCTATCCCTAGAACTGTGCTATAAATATACATCTTTCTATACAGGGCGCGTCGTAATGGTTCATCTTCGAGGGTCAAGGCGTGGACGATGCATGGATACATACAACGAGCGAACCCGTTGACACATCGGTGAGTTGTCCCCTTCCTGGCACGGTATTTCCTGTCCCAAGCCGTATCCCAGTCATTCGTCTACCGTCTTTACCACCTCCTGCCGGTACTTCGATATCTTCAGCTTCATCGTCGTCTTCGTCTCCAGTCTCCGTCTATCTTCCGTCTATATTCCATTTTGTCGCGGCCTTACCCTATCGTCCTGGGGTCAGCTAGCCCTAAGACCTAAGCCCTAACTTTTTCTGAAAGTGTTGAGATCATGTGACAGCAGATCCACCACTGTAAACTTTTATGCCGGTGAGCATGTCTTGGCGTTTTGCTATGTGTTCAAACGTGTTTCCTTCTAGCGGTATTTAGGCGTTACGCCGTATTTACCGCTTTCCGTCCACCCTGTTGGTCAGATTGGGGGCTGGTAGTATCCGCTTTTCTGCTGAGTCATCCAGCTCTTGTTCCCTTGCAACATGCCAGAAGTCAACGACATACGATAACGATCTCAATCTCAACTGGGCGGGGGTGGATATGCATGGCTGTGTTAATCAGGTATTCCTGGCGATGTTGCCACGGCGTGGCGCTCGGGAGGAGAAAGGGAGGGAGGCTTGCTCCGAGTGGTGTGTCGGGTGGCCCTCCGGAGAGTCGTATGTTTCTAGGCTGTGATGGACTGTTGTACCTACAGACGCCCTGACAGACCTGAAACAAGCAGAAGCTGGCCGTCCTGAGGTTGAAACAGGTGGAACAGAGGCCGCCAAAACACTAGCCATGTGCGCTCACATGGCGCCAGCACGTACAGAGTTGCTTGAGAGTCACCGGAGACAGCCCTAGCGGATGCGAAGCCGGAGCATTGGTTTTACTCATGGAGCCGGGGATACCGGAGTTTCCTTTCCTACCGCTATCCGAAACCTTGTTTTAGTCACGTGGTCACATCAACTCCCTGCTTGCTGGCTCCTGCTGCATTTCTATATCTTGCTTGCCCTCCCGTCCACCCCCTGCCTCCTCTGCTTCTGGATTTCCACCATCACATCCCTCCTTCACCGCTATATGTTGACATCCTCTGTTCTCCCCCCAGGTTATAGCTGACACCATGGGCTATGCGTGATGATGCTCCTCTCCCGTCATTGCTGGGTCCTTGACGGCCCTCCTACCTCTGTTTGGATGGCCTGAGGGAAATACATGTGTGGCCGTTAATGTTTGCCTTCCCTCCATTTAACTGCGGTGCTTACTATTACCTCTCTATTCATTAAAAAGGCCCCCTCCACACACGCTTATATGTGAACCATGATCTACTCGGGAGCTCACATAGCCCTGGAATATCGCCAACCTCGATCCTGACAGTCATATGGGGCTTTGCTTCGATGGACAACATGCTATTATTTTGCTAGAACGTTACGGAGATGGTTGTCTTTTTTATCTAGTCAAGACGGCCATTATACTCTCCCCCGGCCTTGCTCCTTGACGACTACTACATGTAAGTCCTATCTGGACTATCTATACCTAAGTCCTATGGAGCAGCCGTGGGAGAAAAACTCAGGATGGGACATATATGCTAGGGGTTATCCTCCGCGCTGGACCCCTTGGCGACCACGATGTGATCCGCGTGGCTGCTGAGGGTCTACAGAGGTAGCGATTACTGCCTCTGCTGCCGCTTTTGTTCGAAACATCGGTATATTATTATAACGGGGAGCTTTTTCCTATACGGGTCGCGGTGACTACTGAGAGTCACAAATCGCTTTGTGCCAAAAGATACATATCCACAGAGTACTGGGGGTGGGAATGCATATCTGCTCCCAAGGATGTCTTTTGATAACCCCCATATCGACCCATGGCTGCCCTTTTCCATAACATAAACGGGACTTCGATCGACGTTAGACCTTTCGACCATCACCATCACAACAACAAGTTGATGCCATATCAAATCGGTTTCTCTCTACTCTGTTAGTCGGCTTCGATCCTACCTCAGGTGGATTGACTATTCGCGGAATACTGTCACTCCCTTTTTGCTAAAAAGTTCTGGTTACATGCCATATTGATGGCATATCCCTGGCATCCCTCGTATGGATCGTCTAGACGTGCTTTTATTGATCCACTCAGTCTCAACATTTGATTTCTTAATTTGGTGCTGTTCATTGGTTATTCAAAGAGTCATACATCTGAGTCAATGTTAGCTCCAATCAGTAAAATAGATACTCAAATGTTGCCGAGTACAAATTTAGTTGTCTACAGGATCGTAATCAGTCTATGGAATTCTCGTTTTCGTACTGGCTACCACGTCTTGTGATAGTTCCATCTGAATCTTACGTTCTTTCATGTTTTAGTTCCAGATGTGGATTCAGGGGAACTTAGGACCAACGTATCGGAAACGGGGGGGGGGGGGGGGGGGGCAGCTTAATGACCACCCTCATATTCTTCGAACCCCGATACATTGCCACCAATCTCCGGTCATAGTTCGCATGGTATAATACCTTAATGTTGAAATAGCGGTGAGTAATATACTTAATTTAATCCGTTTCCTTGTTTTGTTGAAAATAATTTTAACAGCAGAACTCCACCATTTGCCACCTGTTTGCTCAAGGGTTGATAACTAGTGCTTCCTCCCCTGTGTGGGAATTTCGTGAACAGTACCAGCTGCAGGGACGTTGCGGGCTGGGGAAGAGAATCTCGTATTCGGCGGATTGAGGCTCTGTGTCGATTGACGTCTGCTGGCTCTTCTATCGGAAGGTTCCATTGATGTTAATTGAGGCATATGCGGTTATTTTATTGATATGAATTCTAGGGCTATTGACAGTAATGTCAGTGAGGCTGGTGGATACAAGGAACCATAACCTTATGTCTCGGTGCAATCGCTTAAAAGAGCATCTGTGTGTATGCAGAGGTATAGTAACGTAATTTCGATACTCATAGGATGGCCAACAGTCGAATTTTTTCTAGCAAAGGCCGCAATTGCCGCCACCATGAAGTATGGGATGGCCGGAGGTAATGGTCACTTTACAGTTAATAACGCGGTTCACTATCTAAGCTACTTACTCCTACCTCTCTGAATGCACTCCAGTTATATAGTTATATACATGATGAGTACATATTAACTTGATTCAGGCGTTAAACTACTCATCATCAGCACTGCGCAGAAGTATGGACTCATCGCTAAAAGGAGAAAGGCCGCTTCCCAACAATCCTTGTCCCTACCATGAAGGCGGCCGCTGCCCAGTACGTCTGGCGACCCGGCGTGGGATCAGCTGCAACATTGAAGGCATGACCTGATGTTTAGCTTGTCAAAAGATTAGCCACGGCTCAAAAACCTCAAAATCGAAATATCAGCCGGAGAGCATCAACTTACCTGGATCCACATTTAGTACCCTGAGTATCCGTTCTATTCGCAGGGTACTGAGAATCACCGGTAGCAGGTCTTGTTTTTCGTCAAAACGGTTGGGGAAGGATAGCAAACCTTGGGCCCGTGACTTACGCAACAGAGGGCTGTGTGCAGCATGCTGGTCCACTAGTTGACTCTCCTGGCGATGTACCTCCTCGGATTTGTGTTCTCAGGCGCAGCCAGTGAGAAGTTTAAAGAGTGCATCAGAGTCTATCCGTAAACAATCATAGTAGGGGCCAGAGAACGGCCCATGGAGGTAGATATCTCTAGGAGGAATGAGGATATGAGGGTGTTGTAGGAAATGATTTGTAGGGATGGAGGTGGAGGAAAGGAGGCGTAAATATGGAATTGTAGGGATGGTGGTGGAGGAATGGAGGTGCGGTGCAGGTGCAGGGGTATGAAAGGTGATGTATGTCTAGGAACGTGATGAAATGTACGAGATGTAGGTGGAGGTGACGTGCAGTGGGGGAAGTATAAGAGAGACATTGGGGGGGTAGCTGGAAAGGAGGTGAAGCACCGGAGGTGTAATTAGGAGGTGTAGGGACGGGATGGAGGTGGAGGCGGAGGTGGTGGAGAGAAGCGAAAAAGGAGGAAAAAACAACATCCTGAGAAAGCCAATTTTTATAGGCATAGGGAGGCATCAGTATCGTAATGACTGACTTAGTAGAAAATGTTTAAATAGCCACTTCCATCACAGCCTCGACGGATATCACCCTTTCTTGCGAGTTAACCATTGGTGAAGTATAGATGCATCTTGCAGCATGGAGAGAGAGGGTATCAGTAGCATGCACCAGAGCACGATAGAGAGCGCTTTTGTAGTGTTCTTTCCCACAGGACCGGTGGGAAGAACGAGGAATATGGCAGCTGCAAAGTTATAAGAGCTCTCTCTACTGCTGGCCGAGAAATAGGCTCTCGTGGGCAGGAAGGTGTTGTGATTCGGGTGTAGGTTGTATCTTCTCGCTATAGCCTCTCAGAGAGTTGGGCTAGGTGAGTCTGCCAATTATGCCACTATGGATGTGTTGCGGAATGCATTTAAGTATATACTGATACAAGTTGACGTCATATATCATATAGAAATGTATCGATAACGAGAAGTTTGGTATAAATATAATGCTTGTTGGTAAGACTCTTGCTACCAATCTTCGACTGTGGGTGATCCAAGCCTTTCCGATAAAAGTGAGAACCGTTGAGAAGGATGAAGTAGACGACTGGTCCTGTAGATGTATGTCTAAGCCTCGCCAACCCAACTATTCGAGTCTGATGCCGGTGTTGGCGTTGGGTTGTGCTCAAGGCTCGATCCATTATAGCAACATTAACCACATTTTAGTTAACTAGCAGCTTATTGACGTGCTAGTTAGTCCGGGGCGGATAGCTAGTTAGACTAGTTCACAAATACATGGCTTTGCGACAAGATAAGGTCTCGGATCAAGCTGTTATGGTTCACAGTAAATGCAGACCATTACTTGATAATCTCGAGTGTGTACATTAGCTTTGATTTGGCTAGTAGTTATGGCACAGTGGTGGATACTGCCATGAGCCCTTGACCATGAGTATTTCATCTTCAACTTGTAGTTTGTAGTCCGGTAGAAGAAGCATTAAAGACGGGTATGAAGGCCTCAGGGGATTAAAAGGAACGTATCTAGGCAAGCACGCCAATGTTAATGGAACCTGTCACCGAAGTGAAGATGGAGGGAGGATGTTGGCCCCCGTAACGTTGTAATTCTGGGACCAGAGTATCTGCTGTGGTTCTCTTGTATAACGTGTAATACACTCTCATCCTGTCTCTTCTTCCCCCGTCCTCTTCTTCTCCCTTGGCCTTAAGCCCTAATTGGGCCCTAATCACGTCACGTGGTGATCGCAGGTGAACAGCAGGCAAAAGCCCGCGAGCAAAGCAGAGAAAAGAAAGAGAAGAAGAGGGAGGGAAAAAGTATGGAAAATGCAAGAAGAGCGAATCCTTGGAGAGTGTGTGTTTCAGGAGGGCCGCAGAAGCAGTGGGAAGTTGGACCGTCACCATGGGGATTGCATAATCCGGCCGTGGCGATACCTACATCCAGTACAGGAAGCACATCTCTGGACAAGTTATGGACATGTAACCGCAGGTACCTGTGGTACGGGGTACAAGAAGGCCCCATTCTCGTTATCGTTGTCGTTGGTATCGTTGGCGATGGTTACCGGAAAAAACCAGCAAGCATTGGCACAGCTAAAGTCGTGTCCCTCTTCTCTTGGGCAGAGAGAGAGCAGGGCGAGAAAAAGCAGCCTATCAGAGCACCTCAGCTCCCCAGGCCCAACCAGTAGACGCAAATAGATGTGCCGCTCGCTGCAGTCTCTGCATGTCTATGCAGGCATCTAGTATCCTGGTGCAGCCAGCGAGTTTGACCTGGCGGACTCCGCGGCCCAATGGCCTCGACGTGCTTGACGGGATCGCTGGGATGGCGATGTGGAAGCCGAGCCTGTCTGTCTGTAGGCCCATAGAAATGCCTGTGCTGTAGACATGGACGCAACGCAAGTCCTCATAGACCTGAGGGGGAGTCGGTTCTTCGTGTTCTCGTCCCGTCCTTCCTTGCTGGCGTGTCTCTCTTCTCTGCGTACGGTACGACGTTCGCGGGCCAAAAGCCTGAAACTGCTTGCCATCGCCAGGTTTGCAAGCACCTACTGGCCGTAATCGGGTCAACGAAGTCTCCCAACAGCATCTCCTGTGTGTTGCCGTCCAGTTTGGGGGCGGAAGTAGGGATATTCGTTAGTAAACAGTCAAGTCGTCGAGGCCCGGCGAGCCGTGTCGTCAAGATTACCGCTTTAAGACATCTCGACGACTTCAACTTCGACTTCGCCTTCATCTCCGACCTCAACCTCAACGTCGACAACTTCGACATCTACATCTCCACCTTCGTTTACGGAGCACGGCTGGTAGCTTTCTTGTCTTGGTGATAGTCGTATCCTTTTTGCTCTACCCGCGCGGTTGCATGACGGCCTCACCTGACTTGCATCGACTTTTTTTCTCCGGCTCTTCTGCGCTTCTTCTTCTACTCCATCCCCCCAGTCCACGGCCTCGACAGGACTCACGCCAGAGCGAGACAGTGACCTCAAGATACTGTCTGGGCAAGTCTCTATGCTGAAGACACGCCGTCTAGACCGCAGAGATACGCAAATACGCGACATTACCGCCTCTCGTTTCGTCTGATCGTGTCCCGAGGAGGCCAGGGGGCGGCCACCCACTCGCCCGGTCCCCATTTACCAGATACATCGCAACACCGCCCTAAACCTGTCCATATCTCATCTGTCGACGCCTTCAAGAAATCCACAGACTCCGTCAACTTCGTCTGCCGCATCTATAGATTGTTCTGTCGCCTTGTACCTGGTGAGTCGCCCTTCCCACGCATACACGCGCTGGAATCTGACCTGTCCCAATTCGCCTCCAGTCCATTTCGAGATCAAGCACCCCCCGATCCTGACAGCCGCCAGTACAGCTCTCTCCTTCTCTAACTCTCGCTTCCGTGGCTGTTTCTGCGCCCGTTCGTTGAGCGTCTGGTGACAATGATAATTTCACCTTGATTCAACTCGATATCAGCCTGCAATTCACTCACCATGACTGGCGCGCACACACTTCCGAAGGACTTTACCTTCTTCTCCCCGACCGAGTCTGAACCGAGGACCCCAGATCGTCCTCTTCGCGATCTCTCTCACCCACCACGGCCTCACCACGCCTCTCATCGCGTCAGGAGACGGCGCATGGAGCGGAAACCCATCCCCTTCTGCGCGCCAGATGTGCCTTTACCCTCTATCGAGCTATCGCGTATCTCGCCTGCCGAGTCCGCCGGCGAGTCTCAATCTTACAGCACCCCAGCCTACATCTTCGAGGGCTGCGCTGGCTATCTTGATGTGCCACGACGACGGAGGACCGACCCTAAAACACCACCGGCCCAGATTCGTGATCTGGCCTCTCAATCATTTCAGAATGGTGTCGTAGATGGGCCAACAACTCCTGTTGGCGCGTCAATTGCCAGGCCTTCTTCTGCCTGCTCGCATGCCTCGGATTCTTCCTTCTCTTCCACCTCAGCCGCGTCCTTTGACTCGTTTGATTCATTTATCTCCTTTGGCGGTAGCTGCACCAGCCCTGAGACTGAGGTAGATGACCCTTTCCTCGCGGTCAGCCTGCCAGACAACAAGCAAAACCTGGACACCCCGTCGAAGTCCGTCAAGAACACGCCCGTTATCCCAGCTAACCTCAGCCAGAACCAGCGATGGACTTCAGAGATGGACCAACATCTCTGGAATACCTACCAAACTCACCTCCAGGATCCCACCATTACCCCATTCAAGATGTTGCCCGGTAGTTTGCCACCTCTTGGAGTCTCTCACCGGGTCGCAAGAGAGGCACGCAGGGCTTGGATGAAAACAAAACAGCAGCAGGAGCAGCAGCCCCCGTCACAGTCTCAGTCTCAGTCACAGTCTGAACCCCAATTCAAGCCTTCTCAATCCCTCTCTTCTCAGCTATCAGAAACTACCAATTCTGTGAACAGAAATACACCACAGTGGCCTCGCTCAGATGCTATCACCCGACGGAGACTAAAGGAGCTATGCAAAAGAAAATACTCTATTGCTCCTCACTATCAACGGCTCTTGGAGTCTCGAAGTCCGTCCCCTCCTCCAGACCTGCTGGACAGTTACACTGCCACTGCTGCCACTCCTGTTTCCGCCCCTTTCACCAGAGACCTCGGTATCTCTCTTGTCTCCGGAACAATGCCCAGCGACCCCCCGGAGGCTGCTTCAACTCCCAACATCGTCTCCAACACGGTTAACTCTATGGCAGAAACAGCTCACCACGATGACATCCCCCGTCTCGGCTCACCTTTTATGTATCATACCTGGGGACCTTCAAATTCCCGCCGCGTCTCGCAAGCAGATACAACTCCTGTCAAGCCTGCTGTTGATGCACATGATACAGTCCACGTCACTGGTTCTCGCCTACGTTCGGGCATCGCGCCTGACCTATTCACTCCCACCAACAATCAACGCCTGCCAGAGGCAACAGTCCCGGCTGATGCCAAAGACCAAACTCCAGCCCGTGTCCGCATTCGTACACGCACCAGAGGCCTCACGACAAATAGCAGTAGCAATTCTCACAACAGTAACATGCTCAATATAAACTCGCGGCACAGACTGATTCAGCTTTTCACTCCTCCATCCGGCTCGGGCTCTAACGAAACCGACGGCTTGCCTTCACATAGCCAGACTCATAGCCCCGAAGTTGAAGGAGAGCGGATCAAACGTCTGGGATCTCCCTTCAACCTTGACCTCCCCGCAAGCAAACGGCCACAGCCGCACCCACGACAATACCATCGTCCTCGCCACGCACCGTCTCGCTCCGACACTTTTCTCATGCATCCGACATTACATACCCAGGGACAACCGTTTTTCTCCACCCTTTCCTCTGCTGCAGGTACAGATACCCCTGATACGGAACGCGAACCAGCTCCAATCACAGCACTGCACTCGCCAGAGGCATAGCTTCCTTAAACTTCCCATCTTCCATCCCATTCACGCCATAATGTTCTTCAATTCAACCCTCTTTTATTTATTGCTTATCGAAAAAGACAACGAATGATGATGTGAAACGACGATACTGCATGCTAGCCTTTGGAGCATTTCTGGTACCTTATCCGTATTATAATGCGTTGCATGATCATTTTCTTGCTTCCAACAGCAACAAGTTCCATACCTGCTCAACTTAATGTTCCATACCTGCTCAACTTATTGCACGAGAGAAGAAATGAATGCCATCTTAATGTACTGGTTTCGGCATTTATGCTGTCGAACTCGGAACGGGACTTATGTTTGCCTCTTTTTATCTATACCTTTCTTCTCGCGTTTTGCAGGAGATGATGAGAAAAACGAACCAGCGCAATAGCGACGACGACGACCATGACCACGAGCAGACGAATACACACAAACTATCTGGAATTAACTTGCGAACAAAACAGACCACTCATTATTTCTTCTTGATCTTTCAACACCACACAATTTTACTGACGACGAGACGACACTACGTCTACTTTTTTCCTTGCGTTATTTTGTTGGTGGCGATGCCTCGGTCCATGATCAGTTGATCTTTCATCATGCTATACACCTTATATTTGTTACGTTATGGGAAAGATACGACTGACACTTGGATCCTTGGGCTCGACCGGCACCATATTCCCTACATTACATTCTCTTGACCTTCTATGTTCATTTCCTTCTCCATTTCTTGATTTTTCTTTCAGCTTCCCCGATAAAAGAAAAAAGAAACAACCAAAAAAAGTTGAAAATCACTTGAAATTTCCCAAAAAAAAAAAAAAAAAAATCACCCTCACTTATAAGGAGAACGATACCTTGCTTTAGCTCATCCCTTCGACTCTCGATGCTACTTGCGCTAACCTGAATGACCTGTGAAATGAAATGGCCACCCGATGGCCTATGCCCTCCAATTGATTCTCTTCTATCCTCGTACTTCTCGTTTGCCCCTTTACCTTACCTTATTCTTGGGACAGTATGGAATGCAGTGTTGGCCTTGTTAAAACTGCCTTGCTTGTTTGCCTGCTTTGTTTGTTGCGTTTATTTGCTTGATGATCTGACACGATGAACGATGCGAGGCAATGATAAACCATTTCTGTTTTGATATGATTTGTCCTTTTCTTCTATTTTCTGCCCATCTTGTTCTTCCTCTGGTTGCACATGGATTATTTTTCTTGCCTTCTATCCTTTTCTGCCTTGTTTAGTCTTAACACATGGGCTTCTTCGTGATTTGTTTGATTTGAGTTACTTTCTTTCTCCAGCTAGAAGAGATTGGAATTTAAATAAAGTACCTCTTTTTGAAATTGGTTTTGGATAAACCCATAGGCTCTCATTATTGACTGCTATAAGCAAGAGGTTTTGGTTACTCAAGATATCTTTTGGGCGCACCGGCCCTGTAGCGGAATCAGTCGTTGACCTTCCGGGCCGGTCAACCAAACTGGCTTGTCAACGATCCTTGTGGCAGGGGTTCCGCGTCATGCGCTGAGGTTTTAGAGGCCATTCGCCTACGGCTGTTGCACTTGATGCTCGGATGCAATCGTATGGAGTATGCCATGGTAGATCGGTTTATCTTCATTAACTGGCTAAATATGGAGTGGGCCGTCATACACAATCGCATTACAGGCTATAGATTGAAGAGTTATGGCTATACAGGAAAGGCAAGTGTACGAAGCTGGTGTTAATTCCCTGCAACAGATTACACAGTAAGCCGATCTGGCGTCGCTCAATTGAATCTCTATGTTGTACCAGTAAGTACACCCCTGGACGTCATATCTCATCCTACATCGGACGACGTATGCTGACAGCCAACCAGCAGCAGTGAATCGACACAGCCACCAGCAGGCAGGGTTGGAGCGTGGAAGGCGTGTGAATCACCTAAGGATTCGCAACCAGCCTGCATGCCTCACCACTAGCTTTCATGCAGTGTGCCCTTCACAGCCTTCAGCACCGTCTGTTCCTAGCCAACCTGTTAACAGGCAAACAAGGATCCATTTGCCGGATATTAAAAGGAACAGTTCTAAGATACCAGAAAGTACGTGTATTTTTTAAGGTGTCCGCAAAGATTAACTACTGATAAATGACCTTAAGTTATCAAGGTACTTTAACGCGAGGTATTTCGTAGCAGAGACAGAGGTGCCAGCTTGACTCCAGCTCAGTTTGGAGAGATATTCGCAAAGGCTGGGGATAATAATTCCTCCTCGACCACGTTATATAAGATATGCCGGACCCCTGACCAGTGACCAGTGACCAGTGACCTTGACTCTCGCTGTGGAGAATTCAATATCCGCATAACGACCGACTTCCCCTGAGTCTTGAGGCGTGTATTTGGGATGGCACTTGGTCGGAAAACTTCCATTGCGACAAGAAAGGATAGCCTTTTACCAAGCGGCAAGAAATCCCTATCACTTGAACTCCAAATTTTTCACTGCGGGTCTCATAACGCTCTTGAATTTATGGTAGGGTGCCTTGGTTTGGCGGAACCAAGGAATTAGTTGTGTTCCATTCCTTTGCGCCAGTAAGGGAAAAAAAAAAAGGCACACGACATGACAAAAACGGCTTTGGGTCATTTTAAGGGGATTAAGCGTGAAAGGATGTCTCTGTACGGAGTCGTCAGATTGCCCTATCAAAATCTCGATGGACGACGCTTCTTCTGCGCCCGAGAAAAGCTTGAAAAGTCTTGAAAAACGCCATGGGAAGGCCTTCGTCCTAAAGGAGGTGCGCCTTGGTGCCCGAAAGGAACCAGAAGAAACAAGAGGACCGAATGAACCAAGGCCTGTCTCAGGGTTTGACCAAGACGCCCGCAGCCGCCTCCGGCTCTGCCTCTTTGACACGATGAGGTAATAAGTCCGCCCCAGACAGGCTGCCATTCGCTCGCTTTCATGCAGCCTCGTATCCACCTGGAGGAACAAGATGCGAGCCGTTCTTGAGGTACGGGTACATCGCTGACAGCTTGAGCAAGCGACGACATGACGACGGCTGTCCTCGTACCTCTTGCAGGTCCTTAATATGTCTCGCTCTCTGTGGCTGGTTGCTTCCTCGCTTTGTCTCCCTGGGACAGATTATCATTTGAGCAGGCAAAGAAACGCCTCTTGGGAAGAAGCAAAGAGCGACCATCTGCCTGCTGATTCGTCGACGGCGCGGTCGAGCAACTTTACGGGGCGGAGAGAGTTTCTCGTCTCCAGTTTTCTCCAAGCTACTCGTCGTTACATGGATGGGGAGGGTGGTATATATTCTAGCAGCTTTGCATCCCGCCTTCCTCAGCTCCCTGCAACTCCCCGTCAATAGCTTCTTATATGTCCAAGCCAAAGTTATATATATAAGAGGAACTCTGCCCGGGTCTGACATCGACCGGCACACACCCAACTGGTAATATCCCGAACGGACTGGAGTTGGCCACTGTGCGACTGAACGGCTGATTGACTACGGACTGAGGGAAAAAAGGGAAGGGCCTTTTTCTCTTCTTCAAAATGGGCCAACAAGAGACCGACGTCGAGGCAAGGGACTATGTGCCGGCTCCCCCAGTCTACGGCGATGAGAAACGAAACGACATGCGGGCGATGGTCGAGGCCAGCTTGCACGACACCCGGTATAATCAGACGCAGCGAGGCCTGAAGTCGCGACATGTCCAGATGATGGCCCTTGGAGGCACCATTGGAACCGGTCTCTTCGTCGGCTCGGGTCAGGCCCTGGCAAAAGGCGGCCCTGCATTTCTAGTTGGGGCATACCTTCTCATAGGTGTGCTCGTCTACCTTGTTGTTACGGCTATAGCGGAGGTTGGTACCTACTTACCCGTCCACGGAGGTACGATGAGCTACTACGGCTTCCGTTATGTCTCGCGCAGCATGGGCTTCTCACTCGGATATCTGTACTGGTACTCGCTGGGCATCCTTGTACCGAACGAGATTGTCGCCGCTTCTCTGATCGTGGGCTACTGGGACGACTCTATCAACATTGCTATCTGGATCACCATCTTCCTGGTCGTCATCATCGCTCTAAACCTTCTGCCCGTGCGCTGGTATGGAGAGTCTGAATTCTGGTTTGCTAGTCTTAAGGTCATCATGATGCTAGGCTTGATCGTCCTCGCCTTCGTCCTCTTCTGGGGCGGAGGCCCGTCCCACCAACGACTAGGATTCCATTACTGGACACACCCGCGGCCGGCGAATGAATACATCGTCAAAGGTGATGCCGGTCGGTTTGTGGCCTTCCTTAAATGCGTCGTCCTCAGCGCTTTCGCATTCCTGTTCGCCCCCGAGCTTATCATCCAGACGGCCGGCGAGATGGAGTCGCCTCGACACAACATTCCACGAGCCTCCCGCCGCTTTTTCTACCGTCTGGCCTTCTTCTACATCCTTGGCTCCCTGGCCATCAGCGTTACCTGCCCATCGGATGAATCGTCCCTGACTAATGGTGGCGCTGGCGCTGGCTCGTCCCCCTTCGTCTTCGGCATCAAGAATGCCGGTATTGCTGTCCTCCCCAGCATCGTGAACGCTGTCATCCTAACCTCTGCCTGGAGTTCGGGCAACTCGTACCTCTACATGTCGTCCCGAGCTCTCTACTCACTCGCCGTGGCCGGCGACGCTCCGCACATCTTCAGGGCCTGCAACCGCTACGGTCTCCCTTACATGGCGCTGGCAGCTAGTGCCCTCTTCCTCCCTCTCGCCTATCTGGCTGTCGGCAGCGGCAGCTCCCGTGTCTTCAACTGGTTCGTTAGTTTCACTAACACGTCCGCGTTCATCAGTTGGACCTGCTGCTGCATCATCCACTTCCGCTTCACCAAAGCCGTCAAAGTTCAAGGCATCGAACTCACGTACAGGTCCAGGTTCCAACCTTGGGGAGCTCGTGTTGGTATCTTTGGCTTCATCTTCTTGATCCTTATCAACGGATTCGACACACTCTTCCCTCAGAGATTCAATGCTTCTGACTTCCTGACTGCCTATATCGGCATCCCGGCTTTCTTGTTAGTCTACTTTAGCCACCGCTGGTACACCAGAAGTGACCCCTGGTGCTGGCCGGCGGAGGATATAGACATGGTAACCGGTTTGGACGAGATCATTGCCGCCGAGCGCCCAATCCGCGAACACAAGGGAGTCATGAAATATATCAGCTACATATACGAGTGAACAGCGGCATATCTGGGATCAACATCTTTGTTTATTTCTTTTTTTTTTCTCCCTTCCCCTTACTGTATGCCCTACCTCCTTTGCAGGTCATGACAAGCCGCTGGCACTCTTATTCTTTCAGTATCGAGTAATGGGGGTTCCTAGGCTGTACTTTATCGCTGTTGTTTTGCTCGCTTGCTCAGGTGCAGCACGAGCGAGCAGTAACTATAGAGGCTTACGATCTTTAGACGAAATAATCAATGAACAAACATGACCACTTATAATTTATCCATTGGCATTATTCTGCACCGTGATAGCCCCTTGTAAACGATGCTGGTGGAGGCTTAGGTAGCTACATACCGTGCGGGCTTCGTATAATAACCATTCAAATTACCGACTATTGAAAAAGCAAACAAACGCAGTTCTGAGAAGCAACAACTGATACTGAATATACAGACCGCACAAAGCTGTATATTCTATATAAAATGCTCCGGGCGGAGCAATATCAGTACCAGCCGCTGCCAACTCGCACTTCCATCCGTCTACTACGCATCAGCTCCCGCGACAAGTTCAACCAGCTGGAATGCACGCTGAAGACGGTCGACCTGGACGCTGCGCCGTCCTTCCATGCCATATCGTATACGTGGGGGAACCCGCATGCGAGAGCCCGCGACGGCCATCGGTTCACACAGCATTACAATGCCCTGGCGGCAGAGTACTTGTTCCCCAGCGCAGGTGTGCCGGTTAAGTGTGACGGGAAGAGACTGCTGGTCAGCCGCAACCTGTACGATGCGCTGCGAGATGTGCCGCAAGATGCGTGGAAGACGTTTATCAATCGCCGCAACGAGAGCAAGGGCTGGACAAGGCTGCATACGCACTCGATCAACGGAGATGCTAGGAGAGTGAGGTCCCTGATTGCATCGGGCGCTGAGCTCAATACAAGGGACCGCGAAGGGATGACGGCGCTTGTCTGGGCGGTACGGCTGCGCAGGGGGGAGGTTGTCAGGCTGCTGGTGGAGGCGGGCGCGAGACTTGATATTCCCGACTATGAACGCAAGACGGCACTAGATTACGCGCGAGAGATCGCTGACGAGGAGATCCTGAGCTACTTAACGGCTGAGACGGCCCTGGATGGCCGCCAGCAGGCAGAGGAGCAGCAGGATGGTGGACCGGAGGTCTGGCTGTGGGTTGACCAGGTCTGTATCAACCAGGCTGACTCGGAAGAACGCTCCTCGCAGGTTGATCTTATGCATAGGATATACCAGGAGGCCGCCTTTACCCTTCTATGGCTCGGTAGAGAGGACGGATACACGAAGCGAGCGGCCCATTTGATACCCAGGTTTGCCAGGGCCGGCAACCAGTTTATTGAAAGCACCATCATACCGTATACTCAGAACAGCCAGGAACATCATACGAATGAAGGCATACCGTATGTATCCGAAGGGGAATGGGACGCCCTGGCGGCCTTGTTCCAGAGACAGTACTTCCGACGCCTATGGATAGTGCAGGAAATCATCTTGTCTGGCATCGTAGTGGCATACTGTGGCGGAGTCGAAATCCCCTGGAGGCTTTTCTGTATCACTGCAGAGATGCTGCACTACCGTCAACTGAAGCTGGGTACCGAGCTGTCAGCAAAGTACGTCCCCCTTGGTGAAGGGGGACGCGGCATCGAGCAGCCAGTTGTTCAACTGCTGCAGTGGCAGGATAGGTTTGTATCCAATCCTTCCGCAGATAAACCCAGGGCGGTCTCGTTGGAGAATCTAGTCTTCGATACATGGCATTTCCTTGCGACGGATCCGAGAGACAAGATATACGGGGTATACGGCCTGCTGAACAAGAAAGCCCTGGCGGACGGGCAGTCAAATGATACAGAAAAGCCTGTTTGGCAGGCAGACTATACGAAGCCTGTTGAGCAGGTATACGCGGAAGCCACGAAACAAATCATACTCGATGCTGGTGAGCTCCGGATCCTCTCTGCTGTACTTGATCATTCCTGGCGTAAGATTGAATCTCTTCCTTCATGGACGCCAGATTACAGTGTGACATGGACGAATATGATGTCTGCATATTCAAATGCTGCTGGTAACCTGCCAGTTCCCAGTCCATTGATCGAAGAATCAGACCATTGGGGCACCTTGACTATTCAGGGGCTCCCTATAGATACCGTGCTGGCTATTGGGAACACAACCTCAGGTCCTGGAGACCTGAAGCGCTTCTTTGACCAGTCATGGTTGGAATTAACGCTCCTTATACCGTCATCATACCACCAGACAGGTCACCAGCGGTCGGAGGTCCTATGGAGAACTCTCTGCGCCAACAAGGGGCCTGACGGACGGCAGCCAGCCCCGCAGTCGTTCAGCTCTGAATTCAGCGAGATGTTAGGGACAATGCTGGTCAGAGAAGCATGGGTCGAAGAATGCAATGCTGCTGCAAATCCCGAGCTGAATCTCGCTCCTAGCCTCGGGCATGGCATCGGGCGGGTTCTTGACATGTTCTCCGATCCACCGCTGGCTGGGCTATCGAAGGCGGATCTAGAACAAGAATTCAATGAGCCTTCTAGAAACCTCAGTTCACAGGACACCCAGAAACTAGTATATACTCTTTTGAAAGCTCATGTGCTGGCACTTACGGAGCCCGATGGAACCTGTTGTATACCGTCTATCAATGTCCTTCTTGACTTGGAAGAGAAGCTGGCGGCTAAAAGTGAGGATCCGTCTGTTGGCCTTCTAGAACGGCTTCGACAAGGGGGAACGTTGGTAAGGACCTTGCAGAGAACAGTGGGGAGAAGGAGACTGTTTGCCACGAAGAACCGGTATCTTGGGCTAGGGCCGGCCGGCATGGAGGCTGACGACGAGGTATGGGTTGTACCAGGGGCTGGGGCGGCCTTTGTCCTGAGAAAATTAGTAGACGAAGCAGGCGGTGGGAGTTCCAAGTACAAGTTCATCGGGGAGTCATATATACACGGCGTAATGGACGGTGAAGCAGCTGCAGGAAAGGAAGATGATATGAAAAGGGTCTCGTTGGTATAGTTAGAAATCACGAAAGATAATTAGCTAGTTAAATCACTCCCGGTGGATTAATATTTCTAATATACATATTATTGGAGGACTATTCAGCTGCCACCCATCCCTATATTGCCGAGTGTAATGGCGTCTGGTGATGTCCTCATTTTGTTGGACTTCTCAATGCAAGTCCACTGGTAGATCGAGAATGACTGGATATTTACCCCCTATTCGAAGTTTCGTAGCTATATCTGTCATTCGTGGCTGCTGCCACACTTTCCATCGATTTCATCTTCACTGCTATCGTCCTTCTTTTTCGAACCTTTCCTCTTGGGCTTCCCTTTACCGAACATGGACCGTATGTCCTTACTCTTGCCGGAATTCTCCTTTGCCTTCTTGTCGAACATGGCCTGATGTTTGGCTCGCTCTTCTTTCCCTTCATCTGCCAGCTTGGCTTCGAGCTCAAGAAACTCTTTACTCTCAGGATCCATGCCAATAAGACTTTCGAGAAGCTTTATCTCTTTGGCCCAAACAGATTTATCTTCGATTGTATTTTTATTTTTAGCTCTTGTCCCTGCACCATCCACGGGTCTATCAATCGGGGTCTCCAACACCATCGGCATCCCTTCCGCTCTCTTGTCGTTCATCAAGTTGTGGAATGCCCTCAGCCCCAGGAATCCAGTGCCGATGTTAGCGTGAAGATCTCTGTTGCTACCCAGGGGTGTTTTTGAATCATTTAAATGCCATGCTCGTAAGAACTTCAGACCTATGGTTTCGTCGAACTCCGTCATGAACCTGTCCCAGCCAGCCGGAGAGCGTAGATCATACCCTGCTGCAAAGCTGTGACAAGTATCGACACAGACACCAAGTCGAGGATGGTATGATTCTGGAATTAGCGCGAAGAGATCACGGAAGTGAGACAGTGGGCCACCAATCGTAGTTCCATGACCGCACATTGTCTCGAGAACTGGAATAACGGTCTTTGTTGCATCAAGGGCGGATATCAGGGCCTTGGCAAGGCGAGAGAGTGACGACTCGAGAGACGTCTTATTTGTTGCCCCTGGACTAGGGTGACGTTAGGGTCTTTCATCCTCTCATCCTATCAAAGACGGCCAATCACCAGTATTAAAGAAGCCAAGGTTGGGGACTTACTGGAAGTTATATAGCTTTATACCAAGCGCCTCACAACGTCTTAAGTCATCCAAGAAGGAATTATACGCCACTTTTGCCTTGGCTGGATCCTCTTGCGCTAAATTCACAAGGTATGAGCCATGTGGAAGGACGTGCCTAGACAGGCTCATTAGCCAGGTTCGGATAATATGATAGAAACAAGAGAGTTATACAATGCAGCATCGTAGTTGTTTTCCACACATGCTTTCTTGAACAAATCTCTGTGCTCATCTTGGAGAGGAGGGTTATCCCATTTTCTCTGGGACTTTAAAAATAGTGCGAATGCATTTCCCCTGGAAGAATGGTCAGCTACGATTAACAGGCATTTCGTACACTAAATGTTGCGGGAAATGCAATGATATGTTTACCCAATATGAATGCTGTTTGGAATAGCGTTTTGGACCCCTAGGATATATACAAGCTTAGCTTAAGAAACAATAGCACCTGACGCATATCTCCAGATCCAAGAGAATACAACACACCTTTTGCTGCGCTTACATGAGCTCCCACATACATTCGTAGTCCAGAAGCGCGGGGAGCTAGAGGGCTCATCTCTGCAGATTGATCTTCCTTCTTTTTCCGTTTCCCTGCAGCTGTATATTGCGGCGAACTTGGCTTTCTCACTTCCTCTTCCTCGTCTTTACCTTCTTCAGGTTTGATCTTTTGTACGCTCTCACGTTCCCTGCTCTCCAAAGCACTTCCAGTCGGTTTGTCTGCTTCTGAGGTATCTTTGTCCCCAGAATGATTGTCCCTTTTCGGCTCTATATTGGGCTGTTTTGTGATACTATTGGAGCTGGACTTCTTTGCTCGCTTTGCTACAGAAGCCTCAGTTACACTGAGACCTCGTTTTCTTTCTGAAATAGCTGTCTCTGGAGCGCCATCAGTGGCTGTGGACTCGGTCTTCGTTTCTTGGTTCCGGCGCGTTGACCGGATAGCTGGCATCGTTAAGGAGCTTTTCCAGGCATTCAGCCTCACGGGGTATCACCAGCTGCAAAGAGCACTCTCCTATTGCCTAAATCTTTCTTTAGCATCTTTTTTTGCTTATCTCTGCAAGTTTCTTCTCGGCTTCGGCGTTGCGACGCAACAGGACTGTCAGATTGTTGCTATCACGTGACAGGTTCCCCGGCCAACGTCGACCAAGATGCGACGTCAACGTTTGGTCTCGAGAGGAAAACATCAACTCATCGATCAAGTGGCCTGCCAGAGGATAAGGAGCTTGAGGAGCGATACGCCGTGGCTGGAATGCTCATTGGTGGCGACTGAGTAACTGTCCACGATTCTTTTGGTTGACTGATTCTCCTTGTTTACATCTGTTGACCGTTCAAGAACGGCGCCTACCACGATGGCGCGGCCCTCCGACGACCGTATCGATTTCGATCTTATCGAGAATCAGAAAGAAAACATTCAATCACTGCCCAGCGGGAGGTCTGCAAAAGCGCTGGCGGCAGTGTTTTCTCCTCGACCCTTGGACCAGAGCTCATGCTCCTCAGAGTTAGACGAGACGAGGACGTTGAACGATGCGGTTCGACGGGAATATGAAGCTGAGCTGGAGTCTATTGCAGAATCAGATGACCCTCTCGATATTTACGACCGATATGTGAAGTGGACACTGGATACATATCCTTCTGCGCAAGCAACCTCGCAATCGGGACTGCTCCCACTTCTAGAACGCGCAACCAATGCATTTCTAAGCTCAACACATTACAAGAACGACCCAAGATATTTACGGCTCTGGCTACATTATATACAACTTTTCTCGGATTCTCCAAGGGAGACGTTTGCGTTTTTGGCGAGGCACGGTGTCGGTGCGCAGCTGGCGCTATTTTACGAAGAATTTGCTTCATGGCTAGAGCGGGATGGAAGGATAGCACAAGCTGAAGAAGTATACAAAATGGGGATTGAAAAGGAAGCTAGGCCGATTGAACGGCTTTTTAGGAAATTTGGAGAATTCCAGAAACGAGCAGAACAGAGACCAAGCGACTCTGATGGTCCTTCTTCCCCCGCTCTTCCCAGAGTACGGCCAGCATTAGCTGCTAAGTTTGACCCCTTTGCATCCTCTGCAGCAAGTCAGGATCCTCACGCTGAACCCCCGAGAAGCGGGCTTGGCGGCGGCACCTCAACGAGCAGGTCCCGCAGCGGTAAACCCAAGATGGCCATCTTCTCCGATGCAGATGGAGGAGCTGAAGCTGCAAAATCGGGCTCTAGTCCCGGAACAAGAGGGTGGGACAGCATTGGGTCATTAAAAGATCGCAAAAAAGAGAATACCATTGAGCCAACTCCGTGGGCTGGGCAGACTCTGAAAGCTGGGAAGAAGCCCGCAGCTACCCAGAAGATGACTGTGTTTAAAGACGAGGTAAGCCCAGTGTTTGATTTTCCTTTTTGCCCTTTTGATATATGGTATATATATTTACGATCATAGGACTAATATCTGGCATAAACTTCCTTTACGGAATTCTTTGTTTATAAACTCAGATGTCAAATACACACCATAGTTCAAAGCCAATGCAAACTATTAACGTTTCACGAAATAATAAAGAACGAGTCGACCCCCGAACTGGAAAAATTGAACGTGTTGTTGTTAACCTTGAGGCCATATACCCTGATCCTCATAATCCAGCAGTTGAAATGAGCCTTGATGAGCTTAGAGCAATTCGTCGTGGCTGGATGAGTAAAGATTGGTCTAAACAAAGGAAAAAGCCACTAAGGGAGATACCTCAAAATGAAGTCACAGGGAGAGACCCACATATAAATGGAAATGACTATGGCCCAGATAAACATTTATCTATGGTCATGCGAGAAAAGCTTCAAATCTATGATGAGGCTGGTCGAGATCCCAAGCTAGCACAAGGGAAGAAAAAAAAGGTGAAAGAAATCAAAGGGGAAACACAGATAGGTAAGTTGCTTCTTAAAACCGCTTATATATTATAAAAATTTACTAATATATAGTATCATTATAGTCAAAACTAATCTTGATTCGCCCACTGGACCAAGGATTAAGAAAAGAGGCTCTACTGAGCCTACAATGACATTCCATACCAAAGAGGCTACAGATGAAATATATGGCATATTCAATCAGCCACTAAAGTCTGAGCTTCAGCTTGCCAAAGATCTAGACAGTGTTTATGGAAGTGACTATGAAGATGATGACTGTGCTAGTACAGGGGAAAGCACTACTACAGGGGTTATTTCTGCCCCAGACAGTGATTTTGGAGATGATAAGACAGATACCTTTAAAGCAAGTAGAGCTATTATAGGAGCAGACGGACTAAGGGACCAAACAGAGCAGGATATCACTAGTGCCAGTGCATGGACCGAATTCTCCCCTGAAGAACATGTCCCAGGGCCTGGAACAATAACACCAAGAGATGGAGAGGACGCTGAGAACTCTGATGGACTAGGAACAATGCCTACTCCTCGGCAAGGTGATCGCATCGTTCACCAGGCAGAAAATTTCATCCTTGTGCCACCAGAGGACTACAATCCTCCTCGGGGCCCCTACAGAGACGCCTTTGCAGTCGCTCAAAATCGACTTCCTTTTATGACACCAATTGTTGAGCACACCGAAACCTCGCTCGCCTCGACGATATTCAAAAACAAGCACTACATGAGCTCGAAGACCCCCTCCAAGAATTCCAAGCCTCTTTTTTCAGCATCAACTCCAGCTATTCCAGAGATCGATGATCTGATCCTAGAAGGTCAAGACGACGCGGAATTCGACATGCTTGGGGACGAATCACCTAGTAAGATGGCTGGGAAGCTCAAGTCGCCTCGGAGCATGTTCAAGCGAGGTGGCCTGATTCAACCTCGTGTGATCATAGAGGATGTCCGGTGCAATCCGATTGAAACTGCCATACGGGACAGGATTTTGAAAGGGCTTCAGCCTCCGTTGCGCGTCTATCCAGGCTACAATGACCACACTTCTCAAATCGGTGGCAACGGAACTGAGATCAAGAAATACCTGAAAGCCCTGGCAAAGCCACCAAAAGCACATGGAAGTGAGAGGCAGTTTACCATACCGCCAATTATCTGCCTTTCGGGGGCAGCAAGAAGCTATGCTGTGAAGCGAGAACTTGGGGAAGGAGGGTTTGCTCCTGTGTACCTTGCCGAAAGCATCGACTCTCCTGATACATTCTCAGACTCTGAACAAGAGAATTTCCCTCCTGCTAAAAGCTCTCATTGGGCCGGTGGAAACGGCTCAGTTCTCAGGGACTTGGAGCGCAAGTCTCTCGAAGCGCTGAAGATTGAATCTGACCCGCCATCACCTTGGGAATTCTATATGCTTGCGACTGCCAGGAACCGAATCGAGAATTCAACCCACTACCAACGCGCCAAGGATAGCATTGTTCAATGCCATGAAATACATATGTTCAAGGATGAGTCTATTCTGGTGGAAGACTACTTAAACCAAGGCACTTTGCTGGATCTCATTAACATCAAAACAGAATCTGCTGGCCCAGTGGCACACTCAGATCAAGGCCTGGAGGAGGTCGTGATTATGTTCTTTGCAGCAGAATTGTTCCGGACGGTTGAAGCCCTCCACTCCTGTGGAATCCTCCACGGGGATCTAAAACCCGATAACTGTCTGGTCCGGCTGCCTGGACCAACTTCTGCAACTACAATTCCCACCCCTCGAAGCGGCTCCCTGCTAGGTGACGACGAAGGCTCCCGCCCTGAAGATGGAAGCACTGGGTACTCCCCGTCTGGGCTTTATGGTTGGAAGGATAGAGGGCTGACACTGATAGACTTTGGACGGGCGATTGATATGCGTGTTTTCAAGCCGGAGGTTCAATTCATTGCGGACTGGAAGGTGGGCCAGCACGAGTGTGTTGAGATGCGCGAGTGTCGACCATGGACCTACCAGGCCGATCTATATGGTCTGGCGGGGACTATTTACGTTATGCTGTTTGGAAAGTACATGGAAGTGTCCCAAGTGACCGAAAGAACTAGCAACGGTCCTGGGTCCCCCAGCCTTGGAAACGAGCGAGGTGTAGGAGCCCAAAAGACGTACAGAATCAAGGAATCGTTGAAACGATACTGGGAGCGCGAGATTTGGTCGGATGTGTTTGACCTGTTGCTTAACCCTTTGAGCCCAAAGTGGGTGGAGATTGAACACAATGCCCGCGAGACGGCTTCACCCGGTGGTGGAGATGGAGACAAGCAGCCTACCTTCCCCGTTGTCAACTCCATGAGACTGGTGCGAGAGAATATGGAGGCTTGGTTGGTTGCCAACGCAGGCCGCAAGGGACTACTAGGCCACCTTGACAACTTGGAGAACCTGATTGCACGCAAACGGGGGAAGCGAGATGCCTGATCCAGCCGATTTACTACTCTGATTTTCCTTCTTGGGCTGGCGTTTGGCGGCTGATATGGACGACTTAATGACACTTATCATGGACGACAAGGGATGCCTCTAGACGACTGTTTATTGCTAACTATACCCCGTGGATAACGCCCTTTTCTTACCCCTTTCTCCTGACTACCTTGTGTTGATCTCGACTTAGCTATGGTATGGAACGAGGGTTTCTCTAGAGTTTTGGCTTGACTGTAGCAAATTTACTTATCGAGATACAATAATAATTTACTTCTTTCTATTCTCTCTATTTTCATTCCTCGCGCCCGGCATTTGGCTAGATATCTCTGGGCTCTTCTATTAGATGTTGGCTTGCATAACAATAGAACAGCTAATGCGCTATCAAGGAGTGGCCTTGTACAGTCAATAAGATATAAAGCAACAGTAGAGGGTATTTGCTGAGTTGCTCTTTGAACATTGAATATCAATGTCGAGTGCGTTCAAATGAAAGGGGCTTTGCTGTGAGCTACTTTGTCCTCTCAAACAATAGAATCAATACAGTGAATGCCTCTTTATCAATATCTGCAAGACAGCAGCTTACAGCAACTATTTACAGCCATTATCTAGCATGGACAGCTAGATCGCAGGCCGTAGTTATGTCTCCTGACTTGTGTATAAATACAAGTAACAGCTTGGACATCTCGTTTGATCCGAGTATACAGCAGGTGAAATACGCTCTCCCTCTCCGGCTTTAAAATCTAGTCGATGAATACTTACTCCCTTTGCTCAGCTTCGTTATCTCATCTTGATACTGATACTGTGAGTTGTAACCCAGTCAAGCCCGTCTTGTAGTCATTGATATTGATATTGGTTGTATAGCTGCACTCCAAAGACCGCTGGCCAAAACCATGTCTACAGAAGAAGATATTTCTGTATCTCTCAATATCGACTCTGTTAAAGAGTCGGTATTTTCGCCTAGCGAGCCTGAACTCGCGTCTATCGACAGTTCGTCAACAGAAGAGACTTCGAGCTCGTCATCTGTCGATATAAAGCAGGACGTGGACACGGGGCCCAAGACAGACGGGGAGGACGACGACATCAAGAAAGACAACGAGCAAGAGAAGGATATAGAAGACGACCGGAATGACAGCGAGAAAGAGAATAAACCGGCTGTGCCAGCAGTCGTTCTGCCCCCACGGCCCGATAACCCGCGGCGATGGACTTGGAGATGCCACAAGTGCCATACACACTATGCCCTTGCGGTGACGAACCGATGCCTGTCCGACGGGCACTACTTCTGCTACGGCCTTGCACAGGGCCGCAAGCACCGGGGGCGCCGCGAGAGGCAGGTGAAGGGCGAGAGTAGCCTGGGGGCTGCCTGCAAATCCTCCTTCGACTATGCCGGATGGGAGGCCATGACCGTCTGGCAGAGGCGCGCCAGACAGCAAATGGGCATCAGCCCATCCCCAGGCTGTTTTCAGGACTGCAGATACCCAGGGAAATGCAGCCAAAGCAGACTCGACAGCATCCGTGGCCCGTCGACGCTGGCAGGTCTGTCTGCTGGAGAGACAGACACCCAAACACCGAATGTACGTCCCCAGCCTGCCCCTTGCCCGGAAGATGCATCTCGTGTGTACGAGATCTTCGACCATCTCACCCTCGCTCCCTACTGAGAAGAAGCCTGCGAGGTAGTTACCATGGTTTTAACTGATCCGTGTATTCAGCCCAGATCCTTGCCACCGGATAACATCCCCTACAAGGCACCAGCGCCAGAGCGGGCAGCAAAGCCTAGCTTGAAGAGAAAAAAGAGAGCTGCAACAGCAGAGCCAGCGATCAGCCAGCTGAAAAAGAAGGCAAAGAAGACGAAGAAAGGCACCGTAACTCCCGTCTAGCAGGGAAGCCGAGCATTCGCCCGAGTGGATACACACGCGCATAGCTAATATATATCGGCATGGAATGGATATATATCCAATGGATATTTGCTCTGAAGAATGCTCCATGACCTCCGGTATCGCCTCCATAATAACGACGTTGCCGATGCTACTACTACTGCTACACACCGCACACCGGATGCCTGGCGGTTGGTATCCCCTGAGGAATCTTCCTGGTGATAGTCCGGTTCATGGTGGCTATCAACCAGACAAGGGACAGCCCTGGTGACGTCTAGATCTTCGATATGGAACTATAACGGCAGAAGATCTCAAGCAATTGGTATTTTCCAGGCCTTTTATGCGCCATTCTGGTATCTTGACTGCTGTCCTCCCATCAGCATCTCCAATATCAGAACACCCACCCAGTCTCCTTTACGGGCAATCTGAGACATGGCGACATCACTGGACACTGCCCTTACAGCTTCCCACTGGCGAACTGTAGCCTGGAGACACCAAGAACGAATGGAATAGTCTATTTTACTCTCTCTCCCTCGCTGTCCCTGCAACGTCGAGCTTGCTGAAATGTAACATGGACCGGTACTCCGTAACAGCCAAGGGGTTGATTTTTGCTCTTTGCTTTTTTTGGGCTGCTGCTTCATCCTCCTGCAAGTCATAGAGCAAAACGCCAGGAGTCACGGTAACATCATACCACTTGCGCAACGATAGGGAGAAGCAGACGAAGAAGCAGAAGAACAGAAGACGCAACAGTGAGTAAAATGGCGGAGATGCGCTGGTTAGGGGGTGATGGAGTTGTATTGGGCGTGAGACCCTGGGTTCACCAACCGGTTCGTTCTGTTATTTATGGCCAACGAAGACGATTCTTCGTTTCTTCGATGGATGCAGATTTACTGAAATATATCTATCAGGTCTTCTTCTTTTCAGCCCTTAAATAACTGACTGAGACTCTTTTATGATTTGTACGGCCATGTCGGTTCTCTCGTCTTCAGACGACGACGAGCATTACTGCCGAACAATTGATAGTTTCCTCCGCCCACTAACTATCACGGATGCCACGCTCTATGAGCTCTCCTACCGCCTGTCGAATGTCTACCGAACCCTTGCGTTGACGGGAGATGGACATTTCTTCCCTACTCCGGTCACTCGCCTGCCCAGCGGTAGAGAAATGGGCGTTTACCTTGCCGTCGATGTCGGGATGACCAACCTAAGAGTTGCTTTTATCGAGCTGCTAGGTTGCTCGCCAGCTAGTCGCCATTCTCCCAGTGGTCGAAGTGATCAAAGTGCCTTCAGGTCGGTACCGGGTCGAAGGGTGCGGAGGACGATCGAGAAGGCCTGGAGGATTGAAGAGCGCCTGAAGGAGGATAATGAGGAAGCTCTTTTTGGCTGGATCGGGAGCTGTATAGCTGAAGTCGTTGCTGATGAGCTCACTTCCCATGATTCAGCTGGTCAGTCTCTTCCTCGGGAGATAGAGACTGGCATCTCATTCAGCCTGCCTATACGGTAGGGACTACCACAAAACTACGCCGTATAGAACTTGGACTGACAGAAGGGATTGCTACATGATATAGACAAGAGTCGCTAGATGAAGCAACGCTGATGCCGATTGGCAAGGGATTTGCCATCAAATCAAACCTCAACCTCCGAAGAGCTGTCCTGGATGGCTATGAGCGCCATTCTTACCAGCCCAATCAGGCTCAACGACAGTCTCAGACCAAACGACGCAAAACATACGCCCTGCCAGACCTCAACATTATAGCCATAGCCAACGACACAGTTGCAACTCTGGTCTCACTCGCATACGCAGTAAAATCCCTGCCAAACACTAGGGTGGCTATGGGAATCGTTGTTGGCACTGGCTGCAATGCTACTATCCCCATGAAGCTGAAGGACCTGCACCAGACAAAGGCCCGTCAGATACATTCATATTGCCCTAAAGCAACGGAGGCTGTTATCAGCACCGAGTGGACGCTCCAGGGGACCGAGGGCCCCTTGAAGGAGTTGTCAATCAGCACAGCATGGGATGATCAATTGAGCGCTTGCTCAGTCCGGCCGGGCTTCCAGCCATTCGAATACATGACTGGTGGTAGATATATTGGAGAACTCATCCGTATCATCGTTTACGACTACTATACCACAGTTATGTCCTACCCCTCCGCTGTCCTCCCTTGCACCCTTACGAAACCCTACGCCCTCACGATCGACTTTGTCTCAGATGTCATCGCTACCTCTCGATCAGACAGCGAACTAGCCGCCAGACTCAGCCGAAAGCTTGCTTCACCAGCGAAGAACTCATGGCTCTGGACTCCGGCATCAGCCTGTGTTCTGCGAGTCACTGCTTCTGCTGTTCAAACCCGCTCGGCCGCCTTGATCGCGGCAGCTTCGGTTGCCTTACTGGCATGCAACCATGAAATACGTCTCGAGCGCCCTCAGAGATGCACCTCGCTGGGCAAGCTGCATTCCGCCACTTCTCCGTGCCAGAATCCCCTTCTTCTGCCGACATCAAGATCGTCTGTGAACTGGCAGCGAGGCCCCGAGGAGCTGGTTGTGGCATATACGGGGAGCATCATTCAGCATTACCCCAACTTCAAGGTGCTATGTCAAGGATATATTGACCGGCTGGTTATTCGAGCTGGGCCGCAGGATGGCGGGAAGAGTGTTCTTTTGCGAGAGGCAACTGATGGATCAATTATTGGAGCTGGTGTTTTGGCTGGAATGATCGCAGCGGGGCGAGGCCTGTGGAATTAGCCACAGTTCTACAATCATATTACTCCTGAGTCACCGACTATCTACGAAAATACGATATCGGGCTTGGAAATATCGATGCATCTACATTCATGAATCAATGAAAAATTCCTAGATTCCACCAGCTCGAACACTCTCCTCCAGTCAGTTATAGATGGCAATATTCACACCATTTACGCAGATATATGATCCCCATTTGGCTCTTATTGGCTCTTGCCGCCTATCTTAACATCTCGGTTGGTTCGCCAAATACTCCTGCTGCTACCAAAATGGTACGGACGTAGCGGATGATATTGGGGCCCACAAGCGAGCCTTTTGCCTACACCATGCACTTGTTTTAGGGGAGCAATATATGGGAGCCGCGAAGACCACGGATCAGATGGCCAAAACTCTTTCAGCGCTCTTGACGCGGATAGGTGAGAAAAATGTCGTCTTCCTCTCTGTCGGTAAAGTGCGCATGGGATCGGGGATTTCATGATTTCTATCCGATAAACTGAAAGCCTGCCTATCCCCCTGCGCAGTTGGATGTTGGATACCAATACAGGGGTTTCCCTCATCACACAGCTACAGGACGTGCATAACTCGGCCGTCACGCTTCTTGGTGCTTATGTGCATATCTCCATTCGGAAATCTGATATTCCTACCCCTGCTTGCTTTGGGGACAGTTTGGGGGTAGTTGTCGTGTCTGGATATGTATAGACGCATCCTGGATGCTTGCCGCCGTTGTTGCAGATATTATCAATTATCTCTTATCATGAGAGAAGACCAGTCGCGTGGGTTGGTGGTAATAGGCCAGATATATGATGCCGGCATGGGTTATCGCCTCCTCTGTGCCAGGGAGTCACCATCATCCCCAGGACTTGTCACCTCTGGTGTGCAGCTGTCTATCTCCTCCCTGCGCCTACACGGTAAATACTCTGGAGGGGCAAAAGAGGAACGGAGTGTATCAACTCTCTTTTCCGATTCGTTGCAGGAACATTCCAGCTGCAGGCTTAGGGATATACTCCAGATGTCCGTGGAATGAAAATGCGTTCCCCAGCCTGGCTGAGGGCCGCGATTGGCAGATGAGCTGCACAAGCAATATAGCGCCCACTTCGATCGCCCTTAATCGTGAGATAACGTACAACACCCGCCCGTTATGCACGTTCTAGGGCTGACTGGTCAACTGGCAGTTATCTCTTATCAGCGATGCCATCGCTCGGGTAACTAAACGGATCAGCACCTGCCCCGGGTTGCAATTCATGCAACCTATTCTTACGGTGGGTAACTATATCGTGAACTGGGACGGTCGTCGCCTCTGTTGGCAAGATTCTTTGGGTCCCATGAAGCTTGGGGCCACATATCCCGGTGGAAACACCACATTGACAACCTATTTATGCTGTAGAGCTCTCTCGGCGGCTCGCAGCTTATCTCGTACCCTCTACTCTGCGTCAAGAACTCGAATAGCTATGACATGGATATAATGGGATGGTCCTTGGGCCGTTTCTTCTTCCCAATGTTGGGGCACCACCACCCAGACCTTGGCCGGGGAGGTTAAGGGAGTCTTCCTAGGTGTGTATGTAGACCCATCCCACGTAACCGGATGGGGAACTCTTTGAGACTAGCCTACAAAGCCCGGCAGTCCGGAAAGGACAAGGGAGCCAGAGGGACAGTTGGCAGCCATCTAGCCCTGGGATATCCCGTGCACCTCATTGAAGCGATGCCCATCATTTTCAGCTGCCCAAATCTTGAAGTGCGTATCCCCATAAGGGGTTACCAGATATAGCCCCACGGCTCCCACTTCCCGCTGTGTTCCACTTCCCGCTGCGTTCCCGCTGCATTTCCGCCGCATAACTAAGGGGGTCCGTGTCCATTTTTTGTTAGCAGGATTTAGCATAAGGATGGGATTCATCATGCAGACAGCTGAACAGCTCGGTAAAGAGGTAATCCATATGTCCTGCCATGGTTAGACGTACCTCTCTCGCAAGGGCATGTTGTCTGTTTGGAGTGGGGGCTCCCTCCTCCATATACATCTCCCGGCTGATTGCAAACGTCAGAGAAGTCAGAGTGAAGATTGACGTACCCGGTCTGTTCTGCTGGCACAGTTGATGCACCTGATATGCCTGGTGCATATAATGCATACATATTAACGGCAATGTTTCTACATCAATGGTCTAAGCGAGCTCATTTTGTCCCATCTGTGCTTTTCCCTCCTTGTCAGGCATATTATCTTCCTCTTCTGGGTATGCGGGTGACTGCTTTACCAGGAGCTTGCATTTACTGCGGGGAAATGCTTTTGTCTACATCCATATTCCAAAATCTCGGCTTTATGCAACATAAGCTTGACATGCCTGTGGTATAGCGCACCATCCATCAGCAGAATCATGTACTTACTTCGGCCCGCAAGTGATACTTGGAGATACTTCAGTACGTGGTATATCAACGTCTATGATCAGTATCAGTCCTATCGTCCAATCTAGACGGCCAAGCAGCGAGAAAAATTGCCTAAAATGCGGTCTTTTAAATGACACCCCAGACTTGACAAAATAAATGAATCCGATATATTTCCCCATTGAGAACTCCTGTGCCTCTCGAAGGAAAAAATAAAATAAAATAAATAAGCGAATCCAAAAACAAAAAACCCATCCGACAGATGCAAATATCATAAATGCAATGCATAGATAAACGGGTTTCGAACAGCCAGCCGTTTTCTCTCTCACACACTTCCTCGTTTTCTCCTGTTTTGTCCTGATTCAGCAAACATGCGTCAGCCTGGACACGAAGCATTCGACCAGAATGCCATTTCCGGTGACGGTGTATCTGCTGTGGCCAACATAAGAATATTTTAGCATATCTTGAAAAGACTCGTGGCCACTGGAAAAGGAGTGGTTAGTGGCTAGACGGAAGGTTAGCTATATAAAGGACCGAAATATGGCGAGCCAAAGCGTGTATTTAGAGACCGCCAGCGCGCAATAAGGGGGCGTAGTGCTTACTCGAGTAGCCAAATGGGGCAGTCTTGGGCGCTACAGTGCATGCACTCGTCGTAGGAGTTACCGCGTCCCGAGAGATGGCTACTATACCGTCGAACCGGAATGCAAAGGGGATGCCATCATGGTTTCTGGGTCGAAAAGGTTAGCTAGAAATAGAAACCCCCGGAAAGGGATTAAAAATAGAACCGCGGGTAGTTAGTTTAATATCAATCGTGATATCGATAACTAACTAGTTAATATAGCCACCAACTAGTTGATGGAGGAGCACTCACTGCGCAAGGCCGATCATATTCATACGTGGCAGCATGTCGAGAGAGTCGGACGAGAGCCAGTCGCTGCCGAAGGTAATAGTGGCATCGATATACGGCTTGAATTCATCGACCGATTTGATGAATCCCTGGGGTGTATGCTAGCCACCGTCATGCCGCGTTAGCTGGGCCCGATTCCCTGGGGAAGGAAGACATCTAGTCCAGTCGCAGTGCCAGCATCTAGATAACTAACTAGCTAGCGCTGGATCGACGGGTGGTGGGCAGCACAGCCCTTGTGCGATCCCATCAGGATTTGAGACTTGGATGTTTGATAGACGCGGGGCTCATTGTAGCAACAGCTGGGGAGAACCAATGTCTCTCTTCTAAGGGAGATGGCTGACTGAGGGTACAACCTGAACATACCTCACCGACGTGGATCTGAAGGCCACCAGTTAGTTAGTTCGCTTGCCGGTCATCGAGCAGTCGAGCTGAATTACGAGACACAACCGAGAATGTAACCATATTGGAAATGACAAGAGTCAAACAAGAAAAGGGGATTACGAACCTTCATGTACAGCGCGGGCTGGAGGTAGGGAAAGGCCATCATGCAGCAGACATTGACTGACTGCTGACGCATGGGTATGGCTGGAGATGTCGCTAACTTCTCAGTATAGATCGTCCAGATGGCGATGTTCGATTTGAATAGCTAACAGCAACTGACCGCAATCCTGGAGAGCTTCCTGGCTTCCCGTGTCCCAAGGAAATGCCCGAGTATTTATCCACTGCTAGCGCTTTAGCCAGACAGTTGTTGCTAATTACATGTACAGCAGCCTGGTGCTGTCATGGGGATAGCTGCTAGTCGATGGAATTGCTGGTGGGTAATATGTCCGAATGCCATCGTAGATATTTCTATAGAACACTGCAGCAGGGGGACTTGGTCTACTGCTTGCAATATAATGAATATATCACTTACGAGGGATGCTGACGTTGATGGCCAGCCGTGAGGAACAACTCGCACTTCGACCAATTTCATCTCCAGCGAGAGTCAGAGTAACAGGTTGACTAGCAGCATCACACAGCTTGTGAGACATTTGTAACTAACCATCTCACATCAAGGAGGTTTCTCAAGACCTATCATATTGCCGTCCTCTCCTTAGTCTCTTGGGAACGCCACAAAATCTGGAGAGACTCATTCCTCTCCTGTTTGGTAATAACCAAAGATTTCCAGCTCTTCTACAACAACTATTGATCAAGCGCATCCTTTCATCGTTATCCGGCCAAAAAGAAAGGGAAAAAACGTGGTTTGAAATTAGAGCGACGCATGGCAGACATGGGTTGAATACGATAGACAAGAAACGTGGATTTGGCTGGCCCCCAAATTACCAAGTCACCGAGATACGGAGAACTTGACAGTGAAATAACGAGAAGGAAGAAGCTGCAAAGCTGATTAAATTAATCTTTTCCTTCAGCTGTGCCTCTACCCGATCCCTGATGCCTGTCCTTGAATTTATAAGATTGGCTATGCAGCGGCTCTATAACTGCCAGTCCGAGGGGAAGCTCTCACTCCTCACTCTACTGCGTGGTCTGGGCGATGTTTCAGCCTTCTATATCATGCTCCGGGCAGAGCCTGATTGGTGGCATCGCTGAAGTAATATCCTTGCGGGAAGGGATACACCCCTGAATCGAAGTCTTCGATAGTCTTCCTTTTCGTTTTCTTTTTTTTCCCCTTTCTCCCTTTCTTTCTTTTCTTTTCTTTTATTTTTGTTCTTTTCTCCCATCAAAGATAAGGACTTTGTGGGAGTCTGAGCCTGGTCTAAATGTTCCGTGGTTGGTGGCACAATCTAGGGTGCTTCTAGAGTTCTAACTAGTAGTCCATATCTCAAATAAAGACAAGATCTATCTAGATATGTTGATTTTGATACAATCTTTATATAGTAACAATATAACTACTCCATTGCTGTATACTCATATAACGACAGTGTTATTAAACTGATCTCTACCAATCCATATGCATGTATACACCCTCCATCTTACTGATTAAATGTGGATTACAGCCGCTTTTTCTCTCAGAATTTGGCGCTCCTTTAGCCTTCTGAAGGATGAAAGGTGCCTGTTATTTTCTTTTTCCTCCATCGTTGTCCCTCCCGCTTTTTTGATTTATACTTCCACTCGCTGGCACGAAGGAAACATGGCAACAGGGAACAGTTTGGACCCACGTGGCGGAGTAAGTCTCCTCATCACTTCTGAAACGAGATGCACTGTCGATTTGATATTGATTATCACATTGGATTGGCCTTTGCCCGCACGGTATGCATCGTGGTCGATGTTAGTCTTGGTGGTCATCTAAGTAGGTATATCCTTGGGTCGATGCGTACCTTGGCAGTAACGTCAGATTGAGCACCGTTTGCCAGGACATGCCGTAGCAGATGATAAAATGCTACTTGAAGAAATGAAATTGTAGTTATCTATGTCAAGATTGCAGCAAACCTGAATACTGATTCCTGCCGTGAGCTGCATCGACTCCTATCCTCACACAGAGCAGAGCAAGCTTCCATATTGAGGATGAAGCGGCCAAACCAGACACAGGAAGAGTTTCAACTTTCTGTGTAACTAACTCTCCGTTCGAGCCTGGAGAGAACTGGCGTTGCTTCGCCTTTTTGCTATGCGAGCAAGCTGTTGACATCACATGGCTGCTCGTGTTATGGATTGGCAGAAAGTTTTTTATTAGAGTTTCAGATATATAAGGTTAAGGTTGGACCAGCCCCACAAGACTTTTGCAAAAAACTAAAGCCGCGCTTGTTCAAAAAAAGAAGGATCTGCATGTATAAATCGAACCTTAACATTTTACTGACCAATGAGAAAAGTGTATCATTTTTAGTGCTTTTTGGCCATGACATCATTGGCAGATTTACATCTACTTATGCAGGAGATGACGCTGGGAGAGCAATCCTTTACTCGCCCGATTTCGTTCTACCTTACTAGGGAGAACGTGGCTATGTTTTTGCAGAGGGGTACAGGATCGGATAATCATGTCGTTCTTATATCATTACCAAACGGGCCTGCATGAGCATCCCTTTCGTCTCAGCCAGAAGCTTTCATAAGACACTGGGTACTTGTACTATGCCACCCTTGCTCAATCTGTGACTAAAAGGAGCTTTTAGACGAACGTACAGACGGCGTTCAAGAGGAATGATAGGCTACATATATGTATAGCCTCATGGTAATGATCGCTTTCGGATTTTTGCGGATAGGGATGTTGAAGCAATAAACCTGTCGTTATCAGGGAATTTATGCAGATACGTGCAACTAATTCCGAAACACAAGAACAAAGAAAATGTAACTCCAACCTCCAAACGAGAGAATAAAAACTTGAAACCCAACGTTGGACTGGCCGATCGTGCGGTTACTCGTAAGGTAAGAGGAAAAAAAAGGGCTATTGTGAAACCTTGTATAAACAGTCCCTCGGGGTTTCCAGCACTCCGCGGTATCGAATGGTCCCCTCATCCAGTTTCTGGAATGCAGTATTAACCCCGTCTGCGGTGAGGGGGAATTTCTGCACTATTGGTTTCACCCGACTTCTGGCAGCAAAGTCCAACATTCGAATCATGACGCTTCTCGGGGCAACAAGGCTACCGAACACCCGTAGCCCGGAGTCGATCAACGCCGCAGAGGGCACAACAAGATTGTCCTTTATGTTCCCGGCTAGCATATGCACTGTACCACGTGGAGCCATGAGTTCAAAAAAGGTAGGCCAATCTACATTCTCTGTAGTGGTGACTATCAAGTGGTCAAGCGGTCGGATGTTCCCAGCGTCGCCTTCGCTTCCATCATCTATGCTATTCCTTTCCTGGTCATCAATACCACTATCACTGTCCCGGCGTTTCCGCCGAGCAGAGATAATGCGTGGCAGGTCTTCAAGGGGGATGAATTCTGTTGCACCCATGACAATAGCGTCAACTTGTTTTGCAACACTATGCGTAAAGACGACGGTTTCCAAGCCCAGCTTGGCTCCGAATATCAGTGCCATGTGGCCAAGGCCCCCTAACCCTATAATCCCAACTCTATCGTTGGGTTTGATGCCGCATTGTTCGTAGATGCCGAATATGCTTGCTCCAGCACACATCATGGGTGCGGCGTCGAGCGAGGAGAGCTTGTCGGGTATTGCATAAAGGGAGGATTCGGGCCATATAGCTGCATATCCCATGGACCCTTGGTCAAGATTTGTCACCCCGTATACTTGGCGTGCCGAACAGAACTGGTCGTAGCCTTCAAGGCATTGCCGACACTTGTAACATGCTAGGCAGTAAGACGTAATGTCAGTCAAAGCTGCGCTTGCAAATTCCATTCATATGCCTTGTTGAAAGCTGTAGGGTTGAGTATGTAGTTATGTATAATTAGAAACTTCAGCGGGATTTCGGGGCCGAGTTGATTGTTCTCCAATAACCAGTCTAGAGAAAAGGGTGAATGACTTACTGCCGTGAACATAACCCCAGCCAACCCGCTGTCCGCTAGCCAGACCAATATCAGACTGTTGTTAGCAAGTTTCTTCTCTCTCTAGCCAGCGGCGGGTAGGACCTACATCCTCAGGGTTCTCACATCTGGCCCCAGAGCCTGGACAACGCCTATGCCTTCATGTCCAAGTACACAGCCGGCCTTTCGATAATGTTGGTCCGTTCCACACAAGCCAGAGTGAGTGATGGAGATCAGCACTTGGTTGCTCGTCAGGGGCGCTCGTTTCGTCTTGGAAGCTACTACGCCGGCGTCAGACCCTCTGAAGGTAGTAAATTCATAGCCTTCTTCTTGTGTCATTGCTTCTCGAGGTCGTACTGGTAAGTTGAGCTGAGTCGGGGAAATGTTACAGCTCCAAGCTGTCATTATCATACAGCGAATTCAAACTGTCCAGGAGACGATGAGAGGTTAGAAGAAGGTGAGGCTGGAAGATGGGGTAAATAGATAAACAGGACCCGTTTGAAACACGCAATCAAGATCTATTATTACTTAACTGTCGAGGCTTGGGCGGTCATGTACTATAAATATGAGCAGGTGAAGGGAATTATTTGCCGACGACAACATGGCAGTGTCGCATATATCTACATTCAACCTAGAGCCGCGAAGATGGCAAACCAGGATTGCTGGCCCCGCGATGAGGTCTCTACGGCCGTTGATAGTGCGGCTATTCTCGAGTTCGTGCAGCTGTGTCGGTATAAATATCCCCAAATGCCTTCTGGGGGTGACGCACACCGCTTCTGAATCCGAGCGATGAGGTTTGGCATATAATGCTGACCCTATGTACCTAGGAGATACGAATATTATGGAATTGAGGTTGTCTGGATGCCTGTAATGCTCTGAGGTAGGTTAAATAGCCACAGAACTATATCACAGCCTGGCCGGGGGGTTGTTTGGTGGTGGCTCAAGGGCGAAGGAAGACAAAAATCTATAGACAAGAGCATCAAGACAGATATATATTTGAATAAGCTAGAAATCGGAGTAATGGCCCGCTAATAGACAAGTAGTCAAAGATGATGGATACTGGTATAGAATTGACTCTCTCCGAGTTGAGAAAAGAAGTCATCATACAGCTAAGGATGCTTCTTGGTTCCTCCCTAGGAGCCAAGTAGTTATATTGACCCGTATATTCATAGATAAGCCGCAGGAAGTTTGGATCTATCAATCAATAACAGAGACTTCGCTAGAATAATCTATCTGGTTGTCGTTCCAAACCGGCTAACATGTTGCGGGATGACGGGATCGTGGAGATGCATCCGAGGACTAGTTTAGTTACTATGCCTAGTTATGTATCTAGATTCCCCTTTCTCTCCGAAGAGATATCTCACTTACTTCGTCTGCCACCATGACAACGAGCTTGGTAGCTGGATAACCCCCGCGTTGAAATTACTTCGCACTGTCATCTTCAATGTCGTCATCCCGAGGGTCTCCGTGTCCAGTTCTGCTCTTTTGTCATGCAGAACTGGCCGGGTCAAGGGGCGAAGTTAGAACCGATGTCAGAGCATCCCTTAGCAGGCAAGGAAAGCTCTCTACTTTTACAAAACCTGACATCATGTAGCTGACTCGTGTTTCTAGCTGCACAGACAGAAAATATTCAAGGCATTTAGTACAGCATGATTCTGGTGCATAAATTTGCCCGTTTTCAAGAGTTTTGGCTCCCTGTCTCGTCTGCATGGTATCGTCGAATTCCTGCAAGGAAAGATGGCAGGGAAGAGGGCATCCTGGCATCCGCAAAAATACTTTTTTTTTTTTGACTGAGAGAGAGTCAGTTACGTCTCCTTGGCCTCTTTTTGCTCTCAGCCAGCTTGTTTCTTTTTCTTCGACGATTTCTCCAACAACCGTCTTTGGAGATAGTCGCACCTACAGAGTGATGATCGCCGGCCACGTTTTGATCCTACAAACCCCACGCCTCAAGAGAAGTTATGATGCCTTTGGTAGAGACGATTGACACCTTCATGAGGGTAAGCAGATGATAATCACAGACTTATGCGTATTAGATGGGGAACAGAAGAAAAGGGGGATTGGCGAGGTGCCCTTCTGCTCTCCCGTCAACTATCCGCTCTTCCGAATGCCGAATCGTATATCCCATTGGTATCCCGCTGTTCCAGCGGCGGAGGATGGGGAGTGTGGCACAAGGGCGGCTATGCATAGTCCATTCTCCATAGCACATGGCAGCAGCTAAAACAATCGGATAGGGACTGTCTAGAGGATGGCATACGAAGTCCACGCCGTGGTAACTAGCTTTCCAGGGCCGGTGTTCTTAAATAGTTAGTTACCAGTATCACTCGGCTTTCCAGGGGCTGTGGTCTCTTGGTGTACAGCCTGTGCATCTTCTTGCATAGCTATAGAATCAGCCAGCAGCCAGATAACCACGGCGACGTCGGCTGTCTGCGAGCAGCCTAGGCTTGCTGATAGTTAGATGACGCCACGCCGGACAACTGATTAGAAGCATTGATCTGTAGCCAAAATAGGGGATGTTCGTCGGACTGGATGCACAGAAGGGCAAGGAAATATTCTCCCCCTGTTTGACCCGGATGCGTCTGGAGAATATACCGACGCTGTACATGCAGGTATGTAACTGAGAGCGGACAAGACTGTCAACCCTACTTCAACGTGGCCCTGGTAACAGTCACAGGTGGAATAAGCAACAATACGATCACTCCTCGTATAGATGTCTACCACCCCGGGGCAGAGAGGCTTCTCAAGAAGAGGGCGCAAGATACCATCGCAACAGGCTAACTAATTAGTGGGAATATCTGAGTAATTTGTCACACCTGGCGGGCTTCGACAGTCCATCTGGAACATCTGGCAGAAGGCTGTGGGAAAGGGGCGTTCCACCCGCGGTGATATGGCCGGTTCTGCCCTCGGGATCAACGATCAGCATCCGTCAGCTGGGCTGCAGAGTACTCGACCAACCACGGCTGATGGTACCACAGCCTCTCTGCTCCCCTTGGTCACTCATTTGAAGAGGATGAAACAGGAAGAGCCCCAGGCGAGTGAAGAAGGATGAGCCTCCTCTCTCCCACACGACCAGAATGTTTGACTTCATCACTGCAGCTGACGGACGGACGGGTTTACTAGCACTCTCCTCCCGCGGCCGTGGGGGAGGCCGTGGGCTTCCTCTCCGGCGTCAAGCAGACAATTGTCAACTCCTAAGTAACTGCTTAGCGTGTTAAGTCAACTTATCAGCATCGAGTCTGGGGATATCGGGGTTATCTGCAGGCCTGCTCACTGATGCCTAGTTATAAGACGATCGAGATAATGGTTAACTAACTAACTGTTGACCAACATCCAGCCCTCTTCCTCTTCGTTGCTTTTTCTCAATCTTCTGTCCTTTTTTTCGCTTTGCTTCTTCTGCCTGTCGTAAGTAACGACGTCAGGCATGATGGGCTCACGCACACGTCGAGTTTTAAACTTATTAATGGCCTTCATGCGGACGAGCTTGATTCCTGGCCGATGGCTAAGACGTTGCCTTCTTGAAGGAATAATGTTTAATCCCGCTTGGCTCCATACAGAGCAGCACTGAAGACGAGTGGATGCGAGATGCAAGTGTGAGACCAGCCTTGGACCATAGTGATTGGTCTTGAACATCGAAACCCTGGCTCTCTCTCCCCTTCTTTTCTCTCTGGAAGCGCTGCAGTGGAGCAGAGGGCTGGCATCCTTTTCCACTTCCCCGACCCAGCGCTCAACTTGGCCCGCATGAGGGGGAGGAGAGGCCGGCCAATATCTGACTGTGACCACTGGCCGGGATACACTTACACGCTCAGGATACTTTGACCACCAAGATGCAAAAAAAAAAAAAAAAAAAAAAAAAAAAAAAAGAAGTCAAATTGAAGCAGAGGAAGGCCCTTTTCTTTTTCAATTTGAAAATAAAATAGCACATGGTGCAGGGGTACTCTCACAGTTATTCATTTTCTTGTCAGACTTTTGGCGCCCTCTGTCTCTGGCTCTGTCTCGAGAGCTGGACAAAGCTGGACGAGGATTGCAAAAAAAAAAAAAAAAAAAAAAAAAAAAAAAAAGGAGACGCAAATTCCAAATTCCCAGCAAGCGGGAAAGGATGCAGATTTGCTTGGGAGTGTTGAGTGGGGCTGTCAAAAGGTCTCATACCCATGCCAGCCTCTCACGGATCTCCTTTAGGGGGGCTTAGGGGGTGAGAGGGTGGGATATAAGTACATATATGAAGGCACGAGCTCTCTGCAATGCGCCATAAAGTACTATATCAAGTCTATCACTCTCTTTTTTGCACCCTCCCCTTATCAAGGTGTATATATATATATATATATTCAAGCTGGAGCACACGACGTTGGTTCGGATCGATCACACACGCACACACACAGCTTCGGGAGTCTCTCCTATTCTCTGACCCAAAGACCGGATACTCAGACCGGATACTCATACAGCTACACACAATGTCCAAACGCCCAAGACACATTGCTTGCCGCACTTGCCGGGAACGCAAGATTCGCTGTGATGGACAGCAGCCATGCTCGAGATGCGCCGGACAGTCGCAGTCGTGTGTCTATACAACTCCGTCGAGCTCAGATGCCGGAACTTCCGACCTCACACAGCAGCTTCAGATGATGAACGACCGTCTCAGTATGTGAATTATACCAGCTTTCCATCTGAGAATCTGTCTACTGACCGGTGCTCGTTCTCCAACTGAGCAGGAAGAGCAGAAGCCCAGCTGGCAAACCAAGCATGCTGGGCCATTACTGAAGACCCCCTTGCTACCCCAGGCACTTACCCTTATACCAGTTGGCCTACCAATACCATCCAGAGCCCCATTCCCCTCAGCCCATCTTCTTACATGGCACTGCCAATTGACATGGAATCCCCGCAGCCCGAATGGGCTTTGGATACCTTTGCTGGGCTTCCTCCCGTCACACAGCCTTCATCTGGCTCATCTACATCCTCGTCTTTTTCCATTCCTCACTCAAATTACGAAGATCGTATACTTTCACCGCAAAACATGCTAAAACTGTAAGCTTACCTTTCCTTCCACTGAGATCGGGCTTGTTATGCTTACAAGAAAACAATCAACTGCAGCCAAGAAGCATTCTTTCAATCACACAGTCACCTCTTCCCAATGCTGGATCAATGGCGGCACCTAGCTAATCCTATGGTGATTCAGTCAGAGCCGTGGAAGAGCAGTATCTACTATGCCATTTGCACCCATGGGGCTTTGGTGTCGGGCAATCCTTCCCTCGAGGAAGCTTGCTACCACCGCGCACGAAGAGAACTTGAGCTATCAGACATGGGCGGGCCTGGAAGCCAGTTCTTCAAGATCGAAACTCTACAGGCCTCGCTGCTAATAGCCCTGTACGAGTTCAGACGGTCATACCTACCACGGGCGTGGATCTCACATGCCAGATGTACCCGGCTGGTCCAGCTGCTGGGCTTGCAAAAGCTTGATCGAGTCTGTGCGCCGGAAGAAGACGAGGTAGAGCTGGAAGAGAAGAGACTCACATTCTGGGCTACCTATGTCTTTGACTGCCTGATCAATATATCCTTTGGAGGCTCCCTGGCCTTTTCGGAGCGTGAGGTGAGGCGAATTCTGTTCTTGATATAAAGAACTCCCACTGATTATTATCATTAGATCTCTACTCGTCTTCCAAGATATATTCACCAAAGCTCAGACATACTTCCCCCCCAACAAACTTTCACCCTAAGCCATCTCTTACAGTCCCCTGATCTATCCCCCATGACCCCATATATGGCTACCATCATCATTGTTACGACATGGGCTAAGACCCTTAAACATGCTCGGGATGCAGACAGCTTTGAACTAGATGACCAGAATCGACACCAGTTCTGGTCCAGCCACCAGGCGCTTGACGCTACTATAAACAGGGTAGAAGCCTGTCTTGGTGACCTCACTCAGTTCACTCTGCTTGCAGATCCCACTGTTTCTTTCTTAAACGCCGCTAGACATGCTGCCGCAATTTCACTTTATCAGACAGCCATCACCGCAGCCGTACCAGCCCGGCTGCCAGTAGCCCTGATTGAATCCTGGCAACTGAGGTGCCAGAACTCAGCGATGGAAATCATAACACTTTCAGGGGTAATGCTTGAAGGAAATTTACTCCATAACATCAAGCATTTTAACCCCTTTATCTTTTTATGTGAGTATCCATTGCAGCATCGGATAGCGTGATAGGTAATAGATGTACTGACTGATATCTGCTAGCTATATATACTGCTTGTGCATACCTGGCTCGAGTCATCCGAACAGGCAGCCCGGACTCCAGAATCCTAGACCCTATTGAATCTATCCTCAGATCTTTTAATCGAACTGAGATAAAGACCGCTAATCCGACTCTCGATGTTTTTCTACCACGCATCTTCAAAGACATTGAAAATACCCGGACGTTTCCCGAGCCAATGATAGACCCGTCTCTCTGGCTATTGAACCCAGGGGAATGAAAAAAATAACTCAACGTCTATTGATATTTATATTTAATGTTAAATGTTTTACGACTTACTTTATGCATAACGATACTTGCACACAGAACGGCTTCACCCTACCCTTTTTCTCTTAGTATCATGACGATTTCTCTATTTCTGCCCTTGCCATCCTGCCCGGTTTCTCACCGTCGTTCCTTTTTTAATTACTCCCTTCCCACTCCTTACTCCTCTGTTTTATTTTATTTGAAGCTTGTAATGTGATAGACAGGCACTCAGTTGGCGGGTTATGAGAGGGCGGCGTGTTTTTAGACTTGTATCTTCCTTTTTGACTCCAAATCTGGAGATTGATGCTATGATTCTTTCAGTTTACCCCTGACGTCCAACTGGCTAGCCAGCCAGTGATGGTGTTGAAAAGCGTCTTGTAGGATTCTTTGATTGCAAGCAGTCGACTGTTTCGTGATTGCTATGTACCAAGTGTTCAATTAGCTAGTGTCTAACTGAAATATGACTCTAGTAGAGACATTGATACTGTCTTGCATCCTTCTTCTAGGAGTTGTCCACACTTGAAACAAGTTAGTTAACTGGTTAACTAGTTAATAGCCAAAGACAGCGGCGCCAATTTGTGAACTCACCACCGCCCCCCTTTTAAAATCGGCCTAAGAGCCATCAGCGTCACGACTTGACTCACTCGCCAGCGGTTACCCAGTCAGCTGTTCCGCCTGCTTCGGGGATGCTTCTGCCCGGTTGTCTAACATCCATTATCATGTCGACTAGCGACTTCGTGAGCCGAGAGGGAAGCCCTGGGCGCCTTCTGCTGTGTGAACTTCTATGCAGCTAAGCGCCTCGCCCTGGTCTGAATCCGCCAATTCGCCCCCGAGGATGCGGATGGTTGACATGAAAGGCCAACAGGATTGCCCGGAAATGTGCCAGAAGTCCCAGTCTGCCCGTCTCAGGTGGCCCCAAGGCCAAAAAAATATCCCGGGCAACCTGTCTGGTCGCTGCATGGAGATACAAGGAGGGTGGAAAGATGCAGACCCTTGCGAAGCGGTCTGCCAGCGCTCATAACTATTTTTAAAACAGAGACATCTCCTCCTGACTGTGTACCCATCAACTCTTTCACGTTTAGCGAACTAACTAGTTGGTTGACTGTTGCGACGGGCGCTGCGAGGTTATTCGCGATGGGGAGTGAGAGCGAGAAGCATTCGTCCTGGGGGATAAGCATTCTCCACGAGCCAAAGGATGCTGTCTTTGAGTAAGCTGGCGGTTCCTCACACTTGCTAACTACAACCGGGCTTGTCACTGATATTCTCGACAGTGTTGTCGCCGTTCATGGGCTCAATGGGCATGCGTTTGACACATGGACCCATAAGAGAACTGGCGTTATGTGGCTAAAAGACCTGCTTCCAAAGGAGTTGCCCAATGCAAGAATCATGACCTATGGCTACCGCGCCAGGTTTGGGGATTTCACGGCTCATCAGGACATACGAACTATTGCTGAGAATCTACTGCAACAGTTGTCCGGCCTGAGGCAGGATAAGGTATGATATCTCCTCTATTCGTCCATGGCATGCTATGAACTCATAATGACACCATCCTAGATAGCCAAACGGTCCCTTGTTTTCGTTTGTCATAGCTTAGGGGGAATCATCGTCAAGAAGGTAGGAAGCCCTCGATCCTAAGAGTTGGAGAATGCGTCTTTCTCTAACCAATTCGATCGGGATAGGCCTTATGTCAAGGATCGACCGAGAAGTGTAATGAAGTTAAGGATGCAACGTACGGCATTCTCTTTCTCGGTCAGTTCCTATAACCAACCTCCACGAGCTGCAATAGCGGGAAGATACCATGAACTGACAGGAGAGCAGCAACTCCACACAGTGGAAGCAGTCTCGCACGAAGCGGCGGGACAATCACTCGTCTAATCCCACGGATGTTTTCGTTCTCTGCAGGTAGAGAGCTGGTAACGTACCTCCACGAAGGCTCCCAAGTCCTATCTGATATTACTCTCGACTTCATGCATCTAGTTTCCAAATATAAAATTGTATCGTGCTATGAAACCAAGCCCATCAAAATTATGGGCATCCCGATACTCGTAAGGGTACCCCGATCATACCATAACCTCCCATGCTAGTTGTTCGTCTCTGATAGGTCCCAGGTTGTCACGAAAGACTCGTCTCTCTTGAAAATACCAGGCGAAGAGATATTTGCAATGGATGCCCATCATCGGGGCATATGCCGTTTCTCTGCAGCTGATGACCCGTTTTATCGAGCTATCGTGCCATTCTTTATTGGATTCAGTAAAGGAATTGACAGGCTGCTCATTCCACCGACTCCAGCTCTGAACAATGCTGCCTTTGAAACAGAAACCCTTTTCGATGTGCCTTATGCACGTTGTGTCGAGTTTCATGGAAGAAAGCAATTGCTGGCTGATATAGAGCTCTATTTTAGTGAGCCTAGTTCTGACCAGCAAAGAGTGTATGGGATATCAGGCCTGGGTATGCTTATCAAATATGTACCATTTTCATGCAACGGAAGAGAAACCAATGTTAACAGTCCGTTAGGAGGCGCCGGTAAGACCCAGACAGCATTGCATTACGCCTTTCAAAACCGATTTAAGTACAAATCCGGAGTCGTTTTCTTTAACGCAACGTCAAACACGACGCTTATTGCCGATTTTTACAGAATATATGACCTTCTGCACCTGGGAAAGGCATCCGACAAGATAGACTACCTTAAGCGATGGTTCTCCAAGCCAACAAGGCGTGACTGGCTAATGATATTTGATGGATTTAACGACCTTAATGCTGTCCAGATCAGGGATTACTTCCCGAACACCTCGTGGGGTCATATAATAGTGACAAGCCGCGATCAATCCACTATAGGTCTTGTCAGCCCCTGTGGGACCATAATCACCCCCCTAGAAGAGGATGCCGCAGTCAAGCTACTTCTTGGGAAAGCTGCAATTCGCAATCCTAGTAGCGAAGACATAACAGATGCCGGTGTCATTGTCAGGCATTTGGGCTGTCTTGCCCTAGCCGTCGATCAAGCAGGGGCCCTTATTCGGAGACGCCAAAAGTCCTTGAAGGATTATCATCGCCTTCTCGAGAACGAACAAAGCGAACTTTTGAAAATCAAACCTGGTATTGGAGTACACGAAAAGACCGTCTCAACCGTCTGGGAGCTTAACTTTCGACAGCTTGAAAAGGATACCCCTGACGCTTCGCTTCTCCTTCTACTCTTCTCCTTTCTCGAGGCTGCCCAAATATCTGAATCAATGCTGAAAAGGGCATGTTCAAATATGCAGATATGGTCAGAAAATGGCGGTGTTCTCGACATGTCCCCTGAAAGGGCTGGTATAGACTCCGGAGTCATCTCCATAATAAATAACGAATTGCGGTTTGACCAGGCTGTCGAACAGCTGCTGGCATTTTCTCTCATACAAACTAGCATTACCGCCAGTGGAAGGTCATTTTCAGTTCATCCACTTGTCCAGTCTTGTGCATCTCATCGTGTTTCCCTCGAGACACGTCAGAAATGGCAAGTTCAGGCAATTATGCTTATTACGCACGTATTTCGAAAGCAAAGACTCTCAGGGGCCATTACTGATCTGGGAGATACCGGGAGTCAGATGTTCCCTCACATTCCTCGCGTGCTTAAGGAATTTGACACGCTGGATAAGAATTGCCCGCTGTATCCAAAGGCAAAACGGGCAATGTGTTTGTTGCTCCTCGAAGGGTCCAAATTCAATGGTAATGTATGGAGACGGGACACTATTGCCAAAGCTAGGGAACTGCTTGAACGAGGCGATGCTGTACTAGAAGCGCGAGTTGCACGGCGGGAAAGCACATTATTGCGTTTACATGGAAAAATAGAGGACTCTTATCGGGTGATTGAGAATTGCATCTACGATGGTGTCTTTGCCGGTGGGCTGAATATCACCGAGAAAGCAAACGCGGAGAAAGGAAAGCTTATAATTTCCTATGCCGGAAATTTTATTATGGAGAACCAGCTTGCACGGGCAAAGAAAGAGCTCGAATCGTGGCAGCCAAAGGATCCAAAGCACCCTTCGTTGATGGAATCATCTGTGCTCAGCGATAGAAATGTTTCCTTGGGGAGATTGCTCAAAAATCAAGGATGTTTCAGCGAAGCTCTGCCATACTTCGAGCGAATATTTCAGGATATAAGAAGTGGGAATTGTAGTGGAAATCCAATATGGCAAATGAATGCTCTCGCCAACTTAACTGACTTATACCTTGAAGTGAGCCGCCCCGATGACGCGGAAGCAATGCTCAGGGAAACGATGAAGATAATGTATGCCCGTGGATGGCAGAGATATTCGATAACCAGGAGGCTGCGGCTTTCTCTGGCCGAAAGCTTTACCATGCGTGTCATGTGGACCACGGCAGAAGAATGCTTTCTACGACTGATTCCAATGTTCGATGGGATCGAAGAGCCCGACACTAATCAAAAAACCGAGCATTTCCGAGCTTGGGCTGGACTTGCAAAAATATCCCATCTCCAGGGCCACTGGGACCAGGCCATTCGCCATTGGAAAATGGCCATACACATAGTTGAAAAGAGTGGATGGGCAAATAAGTTCAACCATGGTGTTTTGCTTCACTCTCTCGCTCATGCTCAATTCCAGGCAGGTAGGATCACTGAAAGCCAGGTGACGTTGGAGATGGCAATGCAAAGTCTCGCAGCCGAAGAGAGGAAATATTGGATTGTTGGCCTAGGCTCCTACTGGTTCGACTACATTCAGGCACCCTTGGGACAAATCGGCCAAAGCAAAGTAATCGTTGAGCCTGATGCTTATAGCGAAAATGAGGAACAGAGCCGTGTAAAACTTTTTACCGACCTATTCGGATGATATAGTATTACTGATAACAGTGATTGTATGTGTATCTTTGCAGGTGATTTCTTCATACTATGCACTTTTTATCGAGTATTTACCCCTGGTCTTGTTGAACCTTGTTTATCAAACATTGAATTTTCATCACTTTAGGTTAGCTTTTTATTTTACGCATATGGATGGAAACATAAAAGATCTTGTAGAAATTTATATCTTTAATAAGAACTGGAGCATGTGTGACAGTTATAAAGTCTCCCAGCCGCCATTGTTGACTTCGGACTCCAGTTTCCTACTCACAGCTGAAGGCACACTGTGAGACAACCACATATCTCGCAGTAGACGATCGTATCGCTTCTGATTGAGCATAAGCCGTCTGCGGTGTCTAAAGCCAGGGTCAACTTCCCCATGGACGTCTAGATAAGGAGCAAACCTCCAGCATCCATTTCCGTTATGCAAGAGCACCACTGCGCACTTTCGGATATTGATAAATATACCAGCATTTCTCCCACACCTAGAAAAATGTTAAATCCCATTCAAATAAAAACAAGCATAAACAGCGGATAAAGGAAGAGAAATTGTTATACTTACTTTGCAAGATGACGGTTACAGCCTCCTAACCGTGTATTCACCATGCAACAGCTAGCTTGAGCGCAGAAAATTTCACCACAGTAAAGGCATATGGTTGCATCAGTTAACTCTTTTCCTGTGGTTTTACACGTTCGTTGGGTAGCTTCTTCGAGTAAGGAATCGAAGTAATAAGGAAGTCCAACAAGTTCAAATATTGCTGGGTGAATAAGCGAAAGGCGTGGTGGTGGTGTACCAGCGGCTTTGGCTTCATGTTTCGAAATACAAAAATGTTCCATCCACCCGCATACGACGGCAGATAGTGGGTTCCCGTCCTCTGCAGAGGATAACCTATCAAATATTATGGGTATTTTTGGCAACTGTAAAAGTTCACAGAGACGGTCAACCTCTGACATATCTGAGTGATCTGTGCCCCAGGCTGCTGAGAAGTCAACACCGTGTCTAACATTAAGTAATATCACTGTTTTTCGTAAGAAAGGAAGAATGTACTTCGGGACTACCTCGTGGCAGCCCCTGAGCCGGTATTTAGGTATATAATTCCTGTCAATGCCATCTAGGAGAACCTGCAAGGCTGGGTCCGCTACAAAGGACGCACAGGACCGGTAGGCAGATATAACCCACATAATGAAGTCTTTCACCACGGAGTATTCAGCGGGGGTGGTGTGATCTTCAGCGGCCTGGTCCATATTTGCCTTCAATCCCTGAGGCGTAAGGAGGTAAGTTAGCACCACCTTGACAATTTCGGCGGTGTAGCAAAGCTCGACATAGTTCATAATGTCCATGTCTAAGGCAGGGATCATGCAGAGAGAGATTTCGGCTAAGAAGACAAATGTATCGGTTGAAAGAAGCGGGTCGACATCCATAGAATCACGTGCAAGATTTGATATTCCTGTGTTTGAGAGTTGAGGGGAGCCGAAGAATAGTTGAAGGATCTTCCGTCGATGCATGTCACGGAGCTCACATATTAATTTCGTAGGGGAACGGAAGTTCAAGTGGCCTAGCGAGGTGTACGATAGGGCAGTGTCACAAAGGATCCGTAGATGTGTTAACGAAGTCTCGGATATTCCATCTACCAAAGTTTCACCAGGCTTTGTTTCCACACCACGTTGAGCAATTTCAATAGAGGTTATTGAATAAGCAAATGTTTTGAACAGGGAGTCAAGGTATACTAAATCTGAGGATAGGAGACTGCTAGATGGATATTCATAGCGCGAAGGTATACGATTCAGTCTGATCGTTTCCCGGAGTCTCGAATAGACAGCAGCAAGTTCAGAAAACGGACTAGAATCAACGAGCGAGTCTTCTTCATCCGCTCTTGGTGGGCGTAGCAATTCTGCAATCACCGCGCTACGGGACATACGGCTTGCAGGATCATCTGGTGGAGTCTGAACTGGCCTATCGTCATCAGGGGATACCCAGCTATCCGAATGATCTCCAAAATCACCCATTCCATGGCCAGTATTTTTATGAGGTATAAAACCTCGCGATGCGCTTAATCTAGATAAGAGAAGGGTATCCGCATGGCGAGCGAGAGAGGGCGTCAAGGTCAGTGTAAGATACCCGGAAAAATACCGTTCGTATCCTGGAACAAAGCTTACTTCACCCTCCTTTGGTATAGCATATCTGCTAAACATTCGGAGCATTCCATCTACATTCTTGTACATAAACTCCCCGAAATCAGATCCACGACTTGTTGCACCTGGATATGCCATTTCCTGTCCTCTCCATATAATGGGGAGAAAGGCATTTCCTAGTGCCTTGCAAAGTGGACAGACAAATTCGTTGAGACTGAGGGTTTCTGGATGGTTTCGAGCTACTTGCTGGTTGTGCCGTCGTCTGGTTGCCGCGTAGTAAGTCTCGAAGCATTTATAATGCATGATGTGACCGCATCCTGTTGAAACGGGGCCTTGTTTATGTAGTTCGGCAGGGAAGCCCTTCCCCAAGCCTTGTTTTGTCGATATTATAAGTTCTCCCTTTGAATCTAGTTGTCGAACGCGCTCAAAATTGTCGCTTGCGACTCCAAACGGACGGATAGACTCAGCGGACCTATCGAGTGATGATGGGGTATTGATGACTTCCTTGACGAAATCCTGGTCCTTCAAGTCTGTCTCACGGAATATAGAACTCTCAGTGATAAGGGCAAATGTTCCGTAGAGCTTCGACTCATTGGTATCTTCCTGGCATAAAATACAATTTCCAGAAGGATACTTGCGAATTTTCTCTTCTGAGAATCGTGGCGAGTCTTCAGCCTCGTCAAGCTCATCTTCGCCCCAGTCGAAATTTTCCTGGCTATTCAAGAAGGTTTGCTGTTGTTGCTGGAACTGGGCCATAATCTTCGCCTGCCGTTCGAGAGCCTTTTTCTTCTTTTGTTCTGCTTCATTGTCCGACACTGGAGTGGAAGACGATGGGTATATGTTGCCATACGGGAAGACAATGTCATTTGACGTTGAAGAGTACAACTTTGGATTATTCTTCCATAGACCCTTTAATATATGCCTGATTTTGGGTGCACAAGACTCAAAGGTCGATACCTCTGATAACTTTTGAAAGAGCCCAATGATTGTCAGGTCTCCAACTTGCGTCGACTTAGTTTTGGTGAGTGCATGGTATGTGAAGGTTTGTTTGTCCTCTTCTGGGTTCTCCTCATCTGCCTCTGGGTCTTCCAAGACAGCAAGAAGAGTTAGATGGAGAACCGTCTGGAGGAAGGGTTCGATCCGCGTCAACTGAATTGTTGGAGTACTTATTTTGAACATGAGGCAATACTCTAAGAACTGATGAATGACTTGGGCAAACAGGGGGGTTCGTGTAAACTTCGTGTATTCAGTAAATAAACCAGGAGGGACTGGTTCGAGTTTAGGTTCAAAAATGGATTCTCGAACACTCTTTCCAGTTGATTTGGCTTTCCACTGTCTGAGGATATTCTCAGCCTCATCCCGCTGGTTTCTGCTGTATTGAGTGGAGTACGGATCTACCAAGCCGATGTACTGTGGCTTTAATTCAAAAGTCCCAGTGTCGTTGAGTCCATCAGGTGGGCGAAAAGTGGCGATTTCTTCAAGTATCTGGTGGAAATCTCTGGATTCAACAACCTCATCTCTTATCCTTGCGCTAAGGTCAGTGAAAGCGAGCGGCTTGAAGCAGAGAGTATGTGCAATGTCTCTTCTGATGACATGGTGCTGAATCGCAGAGTCGTCTTCTCCAGTTGAAAACGACGTCCGTTCAGATATAAGTATTATCAGCAAATGCATAAACTCATCAGCAACATCCACATGCTGGCCTTCGTCATAGCCAGGTCGATCCACACATCCTCCTTTCATCCATTCCAGTATCCCGTATCTCTCGCATAGAGTTGCAAGTACACGGCTTGGATCGCAGATTGCCATGGCGGCCTGGATCAAGAAGATGTCTCGACAGTACGCAACATCTCGTGAGACTACTGCGCGGTACTGCCCCATTTGATGTCTGAGACTCATACCGTTTCTAACCCACATTCCAGCCTTCATCTGGGCAAGCCAGGCACACACTCTTATAGGAAAATCGAACATGGCCAAAATGACATCTTCTGCCTCAAGCGCGTTTGATGGAGTGACCGGGTACTTCTCTTTCATTAGTAGAACCGCTCGATCTAAGAGTTCTCGCACCCATGCTTTCGGCTTGTTCCTGGCACACTCTAGTAGCCAGGAAAGGATATAATGAAGCGCATGATGGAAACTTAAAGCTCCTCGCTCCACAACAAAGTCAACTACCGTATGGCGCCCACATTGATTAAATGAATCAACCTCAAACTCAAGATATGGCACTGTTTTGAACCTCACCGGTTCCTTAATCTCGGCCTGGGCAAACCGTTTTCTCTCTAGACCCATCGAGTTAACCATTGTTGCTAGGGAAGACTGGACAATTGCATCCGCAAGGTGGCTGTCTCCTTCAACAAGGTTATTTGGACGGAATGCTTCACAGAATATTCTGCATAATCTTGTCACCTCTCTCATGAGAATGGAAGCTCCTATCCATGCATCTGTTTCATATTCCAAATGTTCACCAACTGCCCGAACATTCGGACAAATACCCTGTGTAAGCTTAACTAGATCCATAAACTGCAAAAGGTACTGCTTTTCCGTCCTTAGGTATTTTTGGATGTGCTCCGAGGCAAGGATGTAGCGTAAGTCCAGGAAAAAATGATATAGTCTCCGATTTGTGATCGATCCAGAGTCCATTGCTAAAGTAGCCGTAGGACTGACATCGTGAGGTTCACCAACTTGTCTTGTGGTGAGGAAAGTATAAAGAATAGCCATTATGCTAGTGAGGAAATTTCCACGCTCAACAACTTCTTTTGTGATAGACGGGGTCGTAAATAGCTGTAGAGAGAGCTTAATAATCGAATGGTCTGGTTCTCTGTCTGCAATGAGATATAACTGCGCCAGAGCAGTATATAAGGCAGAGAATCGAAGACCTAGAACCCTCTTGAACTCTGGGACATTGACAACCGTTGCCAGATACAACTCCCGAACGTCAGTACGAGTCTTCTTCCATAACCGCAAGTCATATAATATGAGCCAATCCAGCCGCGTCCTTTGCTGTAGGTCTTCATGGGGCAAGTTTCTCCTCTCATGGAATAAACGAGGTTTCTCTTCCCAATGAGGTAACGATGCGGTGTTGGCTTTTTGCTTAATTCCAGGTGTCTTTGGTATAGAGACTGGCTTTCTGGAAAACTGTGGATCATCAGTTACTGGCAAGATCACCAGAGAATCGCCGCCATCTCCCGGAGGAGCCTGCGCTGGGGGGGGAGGTGGCGGAGGCGGTTGCGGCGGTAGTCCAAATTCCGCAGTGTCATTGTCTACCTGTGTCTCCATGTTGAGATCATCTTCATCAGGGTTTTCTGGGTCATCGTCAAGGACATGCTGGACGTGCACATCTAGCTGAACTTGATCCACCTCTGCATCATCCATGTCTTCATCGTCATCTTCGTCGGCGGCCCGTGTGGCACCGTCTTCTGTATCCTCCATTTCGGCATCAGTCAAGTCAACTGTTTCTGCTGCAAGTATTTCAGCCTGATCAATATGGACAGCACGGTAGATACGACCGTCGTCTATACTCTGATCGTCAATTCCCTTGGTGCCAATTCCCGCATTTGACGCAGCACTTCCAGGATGCCATGGCTGAAGCAGCTGCTCACATATCATGAGCCTCAGTAGCGAGCCATCTTCGCCTACGCGGCAACCAGATATGTCAGAAAGCCAATCGATAATGGTTGCACACATCTGCTCTCGGAAAGTATCTCTGGCAGAGCGGACTGTAACTGTGACCCGGATTTGCTCTATGATCCTAGAGACATCAAGTAGCCGTGGGAGGTCCTTCGAGTATTTGACTACACTTCGACCAATCTCATCCGATTCATTCGCCTTCTGGAGTCCGAATCTCTCTCTCTCTCGGCAGGCCCTGGCCACCTGGTTTGTAACCTCGTTTATTGTATGTTTCTCGTCATTCCAAAGGACCAGAGCGAATTCCGGCTCACTTTCCTCAGGGTCACTGGCGTGATACCAGTCTCCAGATAGCCTAGAAACAATCTCGTCCTGCCTGATTCCTGCCTCAGACTTCGGTAGCCGTAACTGTTCTGGAGAGCAGGATATGACATCACAAAAGTAGTCAAGCACTCGTGCCATGGTCATTCTAATGTAGGCAACCAGCATCTCGGGGACCAGGTTCTCATCCTTTTTATTTTTTTTATTCTTGTCCTTGTCATCGGTTTCAAACGCAGTATGTATAGCACAGTTGACTGGTATACGGAAGGCTTCTTCGTCCCCACAGTCACAGCATCCAGAGTGTCCGCTCGAAACGAAGAAGGCAAATTTGTGTCCCGAGTGGTCAGAGGCATTGAAGCATCGGTTGCACAGACAGCATGTCTCGTCTACCGAGCATGTAATGCAGTGGTATGCTGCGTCGCCAGACTTGAACGTATGCCCGCAGCGTTTGCCGCGAGCTGCCTCAGAATATTCCGCTCCAGCTTCCAAGCCCTGGGCCTTTGACAGGTTCCAGCTACCATTTCCGGGTCCCTCGGGGAACAATAACCGTAGAAAGTCATCGTTGTAACCGGTAAGACAGCGGAAGAGGAGCTCTATAAGCTCTCTTCTTGCCTTATCATCGTATCTGTTGCCGTACCGCGCTGGGAATCCCACGAGCGCCTGGCCGAGCGACTTTTCAACATCCGCAAGGGATCGAGGCATTATCTCTGCCGTACGCCTAGCTTACACATATGTGCATACGAGCCGATGAGAGTGTAACAAGAAACTCGCCGGCGCTGTATTTTGGGGTTGATAAGTTCGTTGGTGGCAAGTTGTTTGTATACTTGAGGGGAAGGCAAGTAAGAGCGAGTTCAGTATTCCGCCGGCGGAGAGAAGGCTTACCGTTACAAAGAAGAGAATGAACGATCTAACGTAGCTATTTCTCCGGCCTGTATGTCTTTCTCTTGTCTCTGTTCCTTTCTCTACGCGGGGAGTGACAGGAAACGTCTTATCGGCTGAGTTTAGTGTTTGTTGCTAGCCAGAAGCTCGTCTGACTAAGATGGCGATGCTGCCAAAGGCGATGACTGGCAGCATTTGGGCATTCGATTATTCCTCTTACGGCTCTATTTCCTTGCTACAGTCTAGCGGGGTGGAAATGCCATCTACGTCTCGGGAATTTCACACGTACACAGAGGTGTCTGATAGCGGTCAGAAGACGGCAGCGGTTGTAATCGCGACAGCTGAATCTACGGCTGGCTAGGATGCCAGACCAGACAGTGTGTAGAATCACGCTGTATATGAGTTCAGTTCGTCTGAGCTTTAGGCAGAAGTGAGATATGATTACCATCCATAGGATAGGCGGTAATGTAAGCTTGAAAGTCTTGAATGCCGAATAACCCGACTGATTCTGCAGGCTTGAATATCTTGTGGTAAATGGTACTGAAACATCTTTGTTTTCTATTCTTATTCCTTAAACAATTATCTGTACAATTGCATCGGCCGGTAGTTTTGTCTATAGCGGTCACCACGCGTCGACTGCGTTCACTCTTCTTCCTTGTTGATATATCGGTGCTTGATGTCCTTCCATTGTCGCTGAAGAGGAAAATTAGCCGATTGTTATAGAATAAAGATTGGTAATTCCAAAGATGGGAGGGGAGTCGTACGCCGCTGTTTATGGAATCCCAGACCTTGGTGGAGATGGTGTCGAAGGCCCTATGAAGAGAGTCAGATTATGCGGAAACAGAAAAGATCAAATATTAGGCATAGCCGCATCCAACTCAGAAATAGAAAAACGTACATTTCGAAGCCGAATGCGCCGACGAAGATAGTGCTCAACATCATGCCATTTCGCCTGATGAAGGTGCTGCAAGCGCAAGACTGTTAGCCAAATAGCCCCAATACAGGTTGACCAGGCCGATAGTAGGTCCTTACTTGTAGATAGAGGTTGCAATCTAGCGAATTAGCCAGTCGGGTCAGCATGAAGTCGTCGTTTTGGCATATCCCTTGAGGCAACACTTACGCCAGCCATTGTGAAATGAAGCCGATATTAAACCCGCGCAAGACAAAAGAGATCACAGCGTTCCTCCAGGTGACTGCTCAGCGTATCCAGCAAGGTGTTTGTCTGGGGATGAAGAGAAAGCTGAAGTTGTTCGTTTCTTTTCGTTCGTTCGTGAAGTTGGAGTTTTGGACTTGGTAAATGGCGAACGCTGATTGGCCAGCGACAACTTTTTATCAATCTTCAACTTCACTCCAAAAAAAGCAGAGAAAACACAAACAAGAAGACATAAAGAGCTCGAAGGAAAGGAAGAGAAAAGCCCTGCAAAGGAAACCTTGAGAGACGCTGACAGCCTACTAGACGGCTGGAAGTGCGACGCGAAGAAAGTCAACGAGAAAGCTACGAAGCGATATGGCGGCCAACGAGACGAAGATATCAGGTATCACCACCAACGCTCTCACTGGAGAGCGTCATATACCAGCCTCAGTTCGTGCCGACGGCTCCCAGCGGCGTGAAATACGAATTAGACCGGGTTACAGCCCGCCGGAGGATGTGGAACTCTATAGGAACCGTGCTGCTGCTTCGTGGAAGAACCGTGGCAAGGCAGGCGTACCCGGAGCAGAACTAGCAGTTAGCGAGAACACTGCTTCCTCGACGAAGAATACAAAGAAAAAAAACGCCAAACAAAAGACTAAAGCGGGCAGCGAGGGTATATCTCCGAAAACAGGCAAAGAGACGACGGCCCTTGACAAGGACAACTGGAGATCTACGGCCAGTAAAGACGCTGCCGGCGAGGTGAGGCAAAAGGAAGAGCGTGAAACCGACCCTACGATCGAACGAGAAAAGAAGGCCAGAAACTTGAAGAAGAAGCTGAAGCAAGCTCGTGAACTGCGAGATAAGAAAGACCAAGGCGAGAGTCTTCTGCCTGAGCAACTAGAGAAGATTATCAGAATCAACGAGCTAGTTCGACAGCTGGAGTCTCTTGGGATTGAGAATGATGGCGAGAAGAATGTCGACTCGACAGCGTCAAAATGAGTGACTGAGGGGTGAAAGTTGCTACCGCAGCTTGGACCAGCTCTACTCAAATATAGCACGACTTTCTTATGATGGGATGAATATCTTTTCACTCTTGCATTATTACTATCAGGCCTACCACCAGTCAACATGTGATTACTTCCTACCAAGGAACTCAATGGATGCATAAATCCGATTCTCTTCCAAGCTTGAGAGTCAAGAATTCTCCCGAACTTAGTTCCAGATGGAGAGATGTTAGGTGAACAATGTGGATCAGAGAGATAGACCGCGCGAAGTCGCTCCGTTCGGGCAAGTCAGTGGCTTTGCAGCTTTTTAAAGGAGGCAAAGGAGAACATATGAAGCGCATGTCAAGGAAAATATTTATTACAGGGAAACCAATTCGCATTGGCTGTATTCTAGTTCCTTTCTAATCTTCTGTATATCTATCCCCTTGGTATAGATTATAGTACAAATAAAAAATCAAAAATGCCTAGAATCCAGGAGAGGAGAGGCTCATTTTCTATAGGAGGGCAGCAAGCGCTGGCTGTGCGGGATTCACGTAGTCCTCCAGTCCGGTCTCCTTAGTATTTCCAGCATGGAGAGCGGTGGCTATTGCTCGACCGGCAGTGATCCCGTCATTCACTCCCACACCTGTGTACCAAGCGCCAGCAACCTTAAGACGAGAGTCATATTCCCGGCATAAATACTCATGTAAATCTTCCATCCGATCACAATGTCCAACAGTGTATTGCGGTATTGCCTTGTACTGCAATCGAGCCTTTGCGACGACTGGCTCATCAACAATCCCCAAATGGCGAGCGAGTACTGATTTTGCCATGGCGATGCCTGTCTGCTCGTCTGGCAGATCCGAATTGTTCCATCCATCCCACCAGTGGCCACCTATCATGACCGCCAACTTTGTTCCAACCGCGCTGTCCTGGCCACGAACAGCATGGCTGGCGAACATCACCCCCAGGGCTCGTTCCGGATTCTGTTCAAAAGGCACAGAGCGAGGTATTAAGTACCCAAACGCTTGTGTCGGAATGAGATCAGGGTTCTTGTAGAAGAGATTAACCACCATGACGTTCACAGCATAGTCATTTGCTGCTAACATCCTCGAAGTAGCAGTGGGGGGAGTTCGGCCCCCCGGCCCACGTAGCTGGCTTGCCAGTGCCGTGGATGGAGTTGTCGAAATAACATAGTCATATCTCGCAGGTGGCTTGTTTCCAGCCGAAGAGAGCTTAATCTGAATCAGTTACACAGTCCTAGAAATATATGCAAGTATATATATAAGGAAACGAACTTACTATCATGGACTCTTTGGCTTTGTCATACTGAATATGAGTTATTGTGGCGTTTCGCACAATCTCAACGTTAGGAAACTTTTTCAGCTCCCGGGACAGGGCTGATATAAGAGAATGCATTCCACCATCCAGATACAAGATATAGCCTGGGGCGAACATTAGACCCACTCGTATGTTGAATTCCGAAGAGTATTCGCGTCTTATGGCTCTCAGAACCTGTATCTTGTTGTGTTTATGGTAAAGAGGCTTTCGAGACAGGTGCCTGTCCATTAACTTTATAATAACGCCAGGTCCAGATTCGTCATCCCAGAACTGGCGCATAGTAGCTTTCATGCTGAGTTTGTCGATATCACCGGCGTAGACTCCGTGGGAAAACGCGGAAACAAGATTGTCAGCAACGCCTGCCCCAAATCTCCTGCGATAAAAGCTTGCTACTGATTCATCGCGGACCTTTGGGTCCCGACATTCCTTAAATGGCTCGCCTACCAAGCTTCTCAGGAAGCCCTCGTATGCTGGCTCCTGTAGCATGTCCCGTATGATATCAAAGAAAGATGCACCGCCGCCGGGTGCGGGGACCCGAACGAGGTGATCCGGGTAGTAGATATATCGGTTAGCTAAAGCAGCGCTTTTGATCCCTATCCTCATCGTTGAATCGAGCATATTCAGTTTGATTAACTACGTAAATTGTATCAGTGATTAATTCTCATGGCCATACGAGGAAAGTAATACACACCAATTCCACTGTAGCCATCGCATCAGGAAGCCCACCCATCAGTGTCCGTGGGCCATAATCGAAGACGACCTTGCCGGAATCTATGTCCACCGTGTCCGACTGCATCCATCCTCCCAATGTGTTGGATTTCTCGTACAGAACGACCTTCGTCGAATGCTGGCTAGCCAGGTGGAAGGCCGTCGTCAGCCCTGTGATCCCACCACCGATCACCGCAACCCGTTTATCTGGTCGCCTGGACGTGCTGGTTGACTGAAGCCGTAGCTGCCTCTGCCATTGTGGCAGAAGCAAGGCTCCTTTTCTTGCGCATTGCCAGCATGGGACGTCCGATAGTGGCAGACGCAGGCAGCTCGCACTGACCGGGCCAGGCCAGCGCCGCAAGGCCATCGTCCGTCAGTTTCTTTATTTTGTCGATATCTTAGGTCCAATTGTTAGTCCAGTCCCATGTTGCGCTGTTTGTCCGGTCGCTGTCACCGTCGTTGAGGCTGTCTTTCGTTCCTCGCGTGAGGGTGGTTGAGGTGAAGCTCTCGATTTTAGTTATGCGTGCGTGACAAAGACGCCGGCCGGTTGGTCGTTAACTCGTTAGTTAACTAGCTAATTATTGGTTAATTAATCAGCTACTTACTTTTGTTAGTTACTGGCCAGATCTGTGGAGCCACCAAGCATTTGGTTATTGGAAAGAGAGATAGGGCAGATTAGAAAAGTATTTGAGCCCAGGGAAGACGGTGGTTATATTACATGCTACTACCAAGAGTACAGCAATCAGAAGTGGGAGACCCGGATACAACGCCATACACATAATCTAGATGTTCAAAAGTGGGTGGTGCGCCAGCCGAAAGGAAGTCGAGGCAGATATAGTAAAAAATCACCCTGATCCAACGCCGCTCATGCTCGGAAGATCGTAAGAAAGGAAAGGCAAAGAAATTCTTTTTGGCAGAGGAAAGGAAGCAGAAAAAATATGGGGGTCGCGCCTGGCACAAAGGCTTCCGGAGATGTAATTGAGAAAACCACGTTTAGCGATTCAAATTGGTAGGCATTTGGAGGAAACTGAGAAAGATCAGGTCATATAGGGAGAGGGAAGGCGGTTGCAGCGGTAGATTAGGTAATGATACCGGCATCATTTGAGGGAGTTGAGCCGGGTTTGATCAGCTCCTCTTCGCCAGCTTCGTCACTGATAAATTTTCTCTCGCTAACATGGGGCGTCTCTGGCTTTGCGCTGTCGGCACGCCAGACCTTGTCGGTGAAAGCTCCGCGCTGGCCTTCAACATGCTTGTACGGACAGGTTCGGTTCAGGCAAGGATTGAATCTGCAAGGCGTTTGAAGATGCGTGAACTTGCAGTCCTCAGTCGAACAGTCCGCCCCATTCCTGCAGAGCGGCATATTTGGGTGTTTAAAGGTGCATTTAGGGTTTGTGCAGTGCGGAAAGTATCGACAAATCTCCTCTGCCTGGTGGACAGCCTTTTGGGCAGGTGATGGGTGTCGGGCAACGCATTTCCGGTTCTTGCACGCGGCTCCGTATGGACAATTGTCACTCACATCCACGCTGGCTCCTTCAGGTGCAGCCGGGGATTGATGAGCGTAAAGACAGTCCTTGTTTGTGCACCTAAGATTAAATCGGCAGACTGTGTCCGGGCCAGGGGCTTCCCGTGCCGGCTGTCCTTCGGCCGGCTTACTTTCAGAACCGTCCATCTCAACATCGGCAGCTGTAGTTTGGGAAGACTGCTGGTTCCGTCGGCTGGGTTGGAACTCCGCGCGTTCGAATAGTGATCGGCCCTGTGCCTGTTGCGGAGGGCCATTCTGGAAGGCTGGGTTGATCGCAGGAGCGACAAACCCGGGTATGAGCTGAGACATCATCCGTGCTTGCTCCTCAAACATTGACATCATCTGCATCTGCTGTTGTGGAGTGATGTTCATCATGTTTTGTTGAGCCATGTTCTGCATCTGGTTATGATTCATTCCCATGCCCATGTTCATTCCCATCCCCATCCCCATCGGCACATTGCTACCCATCTGCCTCCCTATTGAAGCCCTGTGGCCACCTCGACTGCCTCTGCTGCCCCTGGAGCTATCTCGATGTGAATTTATCCTCTCGGTTCCTTGCTGGTTTCGAACTCGGTGAAGGACGGATTCGTTGGACCGGTCCATCGCACGACTAAGCTGGCCAAGGATGCCTCTGCCTCGACCATTTTGCTTTTGATTCCGCGCATTCCGAGGGCCGGTTGGACTATATTATATTCCTTGTTAGTAGCCATATTCAAGACAGCAACGAGTACTAGTTGGAGCTTACACAGATGCATCAATTCCGGGACCGACTCCATCATCCATAACCATATCCTGTTGCGGTCCGGGCACATCGGTGGGCGTCGCATTCCCATTCCCTCCATTCGTTTCGTCTGAGAAAGAGGGTATCGCTTGTGGGGGTTGTTCCTGATGCACCCTCTCCGTCGAGCCGCCATTTAATCGCCTGTCCAGCGTCTCGACTTGATCGAACAACCATTTTGAAAATTCTGCGGCCTCAGTATCCTCTGGCCCCAGGCTGAGCAGGTCGTTTGCTAGCTCCGCAGAAATCTGGTCCTGTGTCTTCCCGTTGACAAGCATCAATATCACATACTCCGCGAGCGCAGAGTCGTCTCCGCCGCCGGTGCTCCAACCAAGCTCGACCAGCTTCGGCTGCACGACTTCGTTCAAAGCATCGGCCAACGGCGTATTCAGCGCTACAGAGACACTCATGGCGACGGAGCTGTTTTCAGAGCTTTTTTGATAGAGGGCGTTTTCAGGTGGCAATCTTATATTTCGCGCAGTGTCTACAAGCCGTCAACGCGAGTTGAAAGATAGTCGTATTCCGCAGTCCAGGGACAACTGTCTTCCTTGAATATCACGGTCCAAGTGCTCTTATTTCACCCCGGCAAGACCTCCGTGGCTCTTGAACTTCACTCTCTGGCTTTGTACGGCCGTTTTTCTCCCGCTCGAATCAAAAGAACCTGATGCCAAGACTTTACTTAGTCATAAAGGATTAGTAATGATAATCACGTGAATGGGTATCCAAATAGGCAGTTTGTGACATCTCGAATCTTTTCTTCTCTTGGACGTTCAAGAAATGACAGAATAGCAGACAAACAGGCGAACCGGACGACGAGGACCCCTCCTTGGGCAACTGGTTGCTATAGACACTGCCGGAGGTCTGCTCTGGTGAGACAATACTGGATGGGCTATTCTAGCATGCACCCGTTTAAGCCGCTCTTGCATAACTAGTTAAGGTCTTACATTGTTAAAGAGTTGGCGACACTTATATTCACTTCGCCCCTCCATTACTCCGCCAAGCACTGATATACATACCCGTTCATACACACTTGGATCTTCAAACTCTCTTTTAAGTCTTCCTCCTGAAATATGTGGTGGATCTGGGTTGCTGGAATCCTCGGCTTGTTTGGCCGTGTAGAAGCGCTATGGCCACAACCCAGTGAATACTCGCACGGGAATAAAACCCTATGGCTGTCTCCATCCGTCCGGTTTACCTACATTAACAATCATCGGTCTTTTATAGATACGCGGCCTAGTTATGCAGGCATCAACTGGATACCCGGAGGTTGGCTAAACTTGCTGCAGTATCCTTGGGGTAGCGCAGAACATACAGTTACAGAACCACTCCCCAGTGTCGAGAAATTTGTTGAAGATGCTATAAAACGTACCAAGGATGCTATTATTAATAGCAAGTTTGTCCCTTGGAAGTTTTATCCGCGTCATCAAAAGTTTGAACCCTTGGTAAATAGCCAACATCCGACTATCGAGAAGGTTATAATAAATGAGACGTCAAAAACGAGTCAAGAATGGTCCCCTCGCAACTACGTAAATGGGGATGAAAAGTACGAAATTAGGATCTCGGAAGATGGAGAGGTGCAGATCTCTTCGAGGTCACCTATTGGCACTATTCGTGCTCTCCAGACATTCCAGCAGCTGTTTTACTCCCACACTCATTTAAATTCATATACACCTTTCGCTCCAATTTCCATATTGGATTCTCCCAAATGGCGACATCGTGGGCTGAACCTTGACATATCTAGAAACGTGATTCGACCCGAAGAGGTCAAGCGTACCATTGATGCAATGGCATCTGTAAAGCTGAACCGGCTGCATGTCCACGCTGCTGACTCACAATCCTGGCCATTAGATATTCCCTCAATCCCAGAACTAGCAGCCAAAGCCTCGTACCATCCGAGTCAGGTATGGTCGTCTTCAGAATTGGAGGCGGTGCAACTATATGGACTAGAACGCGGGGTCTCGGTATTTCTCGAGATTGATTTGCCCGGCCATACTGCTGCCGTTGGCCATGCATTCCCCGATTTAGTTGCAGCCTACCATATGGATCAGTGGGAGGCATATGCCGCGGAACCTCCAAGTGGTCAACTTAAACTGAACTCTTCTTCCGTATACCAGTTTCTTGATCGGCTGATGGCAGATTTAATCCCACGTGTCTCCCCGTTAACAGAGTACTTCCACACTGGAGGAGATGAATTCAACCTCAACACCTACCTTTTGGAACTTAACCTAGGTTCGAACGATCGACCAGTCCTTATACCCTTTCTCGACAGAATGATCACACATGTTCACAGCTCTCTTCGAGGTTCTGGAATTACTCCGATTGTATGGGAAGAGTTGGTCCTTGATTGGGATCTCAACCTGCCTTCCCACAAAACAGCGGGTGAAATTGGAGGGGTCATCGTGCAGGCATGGCGTAACTCATCAGCAGTGAAACATGTCCTCCAAAAAGGGTATCAGACGATATTTGGCACTGGAGATGCTTGGTATCTTGACTGTGGGGTAGGAACTTTCCTAAACCCTCGCCCAGGTTCCAAGACTGTCCAGGATCCGTATCTAGACTGGTGTGCACCGACGAAAAACTGGAAACACATGTATATATACAACCCTCTAAACGGTATACCGGTTGAGTTACAGTCCCTTCTGGTTGGAGGTGAAACGCATATGTGGTCGGAGCTGGTTGATCCAGTCAACATGGACCAAATGATCTGGCCCCGGGCCGCCGCCGCCGCAGAAGTCCTTTGGACAGGGCCGAGATCGCCGGATAATATCCAGGACGCCTCATATCGATTAGCAGAGTGGAGAGAGCGAATAGTGATTGATGCAGGAATCCGTGCTGCTATGGTCCAAATGACGTATTGTCTCATGCGGGAAAGCGGGTGCGAGCTCTAAATCAATCTACAATAATAAGACGGCAATTCGTCCTACATCAAGAAGAGCGATGCAAATTGAAATTCACCATAGGATACGGATACGGCCAAATCACTTTCAGCTGTGTAGTTATTAAGCGGAATTTTAAAACTCCGTAGTTAGAAATTTCGGGATCCATTTACGCCAGTCAACCTCCCCTGGTTTTTGCTACAACCTCATACTGCCTATCTTTTTGCAGCACTATTAGTACTTACTGTTACCCCGTCTCCGAGAAGGACAGCAACGACGAAACATGCTGCATAACCCTCCACACAAAAACAAAATACGAATACGGAGGATCCGTAACAATTAACCAGTTAGTTAAAGCAACGCTCGGCTTTTCACATGCAAGAGCAATAACAGCACAAGCAATGCTTCCTACATGCTTATACTTACTCTGGACACTTCAGCATGAACTCGGAATAAGGGCCAGTCCTACGGAAGAACTCGAATACAGCTCTCACTGCTCTGTGCTGGGCTGCTTTAAGTATACTAGCAGTTTTTATTTTTTTCTCAGTCTCTTTGTCGAGAATCCTGGCCAAGCGAGAATTCTGGAACACGATCGATCAGCATTGCAAATACATAATTATCTGGACCTGGAGCTATTTATGTCAGTCAATTGATATGATAGGTTGATCAATTCCCCAGGTTAGTTAACTAACTAGTTAACGCTTCCATATTTGGAAACCTTTTGACTTCGATTTCACAGAGAGGCTAACTGGGTTATGTCGTATTCGTACTTTACATCAAACCGCAGAGCCGAAGCCGATGTGTTGCCCCTGTAAGTACGAAAGTACGGAGAAGGCTGTTTCGACTCCCGACAGGATTGTCCCTCGGTTTAGCGGCACCCCGGAGGGTTATTTGGCCGTTCTAGGCGCGACGTAGGATGCCGTCCCGTCTTGTGGCCTGGGGGGAGGTTTAATGATGACCACCCCCGCTCTTATATATTCTCCTTCAATCAAGAAGACGTCATTTTGACAATAACTACTCTTTGACGTTGGATATTAGTAGTTGCCGGACATTGTTCTCTCATTCCAGTGTCATTTCATCCATAAGCCTCAACTGATTAATTTGCCAGCCCGTCTAACTATTCGCAAGCAGGGCAATCAAGCCTCTTTTGCAGCCCTTGGATGATGGACTAAAGGGAACAACTCTGAAGAACATATTCAACATGATTGAAGGAATTGTGCAAAATATATCTATCGGTAGTGGAATTGTGTGGTCGTTCGCTGCTTTAATCGTTTTCTATCTTGGATATGACTTATATACGGACTACAAAGTCTCCAGGCTAGGAGCATTTGCTCCCCGGATTAAAACTTATATGCCACTGAGTAAGTCGGTGTCTCAGGGCAAATGCCATATTCCAATCTGCTGATTCCAAATTAGGCGCCGACTTTATTTTCAGGGGATTCAAAGCTGCGAAAAAGCACAAGGATCTCGGATTTTTCACGTCCATTTTTGAAACTACGCCTTCACAATGCGGCGGTAATATTTCGACAGCTGAGCTTAAAGTTCGTCCTTATGCGCGCAATATCTTCACTGCTGATCCAGAGAACATCAAGGCTGTTCTGACTAGTCAGTTCAGTGATTATGGAAAGGGATGGCGCTTCCATAGAGAGTGGAAAGATTTCCTGGGAGACAGCATTTTTGCGACTGATGGCGAGCTCTGGTCACGATCCAGGCACTTGATTCGGCCAATGTTTGCAAAGGAGAGATTTGTCGACACTGAGATCTTTGAAAAGCACATTGAAAAGCTGATCCCACGACTTGCGAAGAACGATAGCGGTGGAAGAATTGTCGATATTGGACCATTGTTTTTTAGATTTACTCTGGATGCTGCAACCGATTATCTTCTTGGAAAGAGTGTCGACAGCCTTGATGATCCTAAGACCGAATTTGCCGAATCTTTCCAATTCGTTCTACATAAGCAGTCAATACTCTTCAGAGCTGGGTACGTATAATCCACTACTAGTACTCCCGGATGGAATTATGGATATTAAGATCATCATAGGCCCCTTCGGAAATTCATTTCAGAACATGAATTCAAAGCTAATATCCGAAAGATGAACGATTTCATTCAACAGTTCATTGATCAAGTGCTAGCCCTGACTCCTGAAGAACTAGACAGCAAGCTGTCAAAGCAAGACACCTTCCTCCACGCACTTGCAAGGTTTACCCGCGACCCAGTTGTGCTCCGTGACCAACTTGTTGCAATTCTTCTTGCCGGTCGTGATACCACCGCAGCTACACTCGCCTTTGCCATGTTTGAGCTCTCTCGTCATCCTGAAACTGTTAAGAAAGCGCGAGCAGAGATTTTCGCAACATGTGGTACCAGCAAGCCAACCTATACCGATCTGAAAGCCATGAAGTATGTCAATGCTATTATCAACGAGACTATGCGTCTATACCCTGTCGTACCGTTTAATGTCCGCCATGCTGTTGTCGATACCACTCTCCCCCGTGGCGGCGGTCCTGATGGCAAGTCTCCCATTGGTGTCCCTGCTGATACCCGAATTCTGTACTCAACCATGGCCATGCAACGACGTCGTGACCTCTATGATCCACCACCATCATCCGTATCACCGCCAGATGAAAAGGCTAAGCCTTGGTATGATCCCCTTGAGTTCCACGCAGAACGATGGACTTCTGGTTGGCAACCCAAACCATGGCATTTTATCCCCTTCAACGGAGGTCCAAGGATATGTTTGGGCCAGCAATTTGCGACCATTGAAATGGGATATACAATAACCCGTATTCTGCAGCACTTTTCTGAGGTGACCGGCATCGGATGCCCTCCACCAGGAACTGATCCTGTTCTCAGAACCGACGTGACTCTCTCCCCAGGCGAAGAATTCAATTGTGTCTTCGGCCGCGAAGGATCTGTCTAAAGTACCCATGACCATTCCCTTCCAATGACGTCTATGCTCTCTGATATGTTCTTTTTTCCCCCTTCTTTTCTTATCTGTCCCTATACTCAACAATTTGATCACTTCTTCCATCAAGCTGGGTCGACATGGTGAAACAGCCCCTCACCAGTTACAACATGTATATACGAAAATGCCGGCCCAGATGAACCTACGGGATAAATGTTATTTCGTTTCTTTTACTCACTTCTATGCAACCTTTATGTTGGGTGGAGATGCGCCATAAAATGGAATAAAACATCTCACACTCGAAATCCTTCACAAACGGCACAGCCAACAAAAATAAAATTCTAGCCGTAAAAGGATGGCTGCGCACTGTGTGAGTGAAGGTAATTATTATGGAGCCTGGTGGCGTTGATGTGCACCAAATTCCCTGTAAAACCGATATTCGATCGCTGTATACCCAAGCGGCTTTGAGGATCCCCTGAAACCGACCTGCAGATACATGAAACTGCATAGCTATCTTAGACATGTGGTTCCCTTTTTGGTCGCTGAGCGTTTCCGACTCTGATAGGATTGGCTTCTTTGATTGCTGCCGTGCAATGGTTGAAAACAAAGAGTTAATCATATGTTCATACATATGTAACACGGCACAATGATTATAGAGATATTCACGCATATTGATGTCTCTTCTTTATTATACGACCTACCCACTGAGCATACGGGCTCGATAAGGGACTGTATTGGGCGTGCATTTCGAAAGAAGTCTATATATATACCGGTTGTAACTGCTCCTGAGGAGAGTGAAAGCCAACTTCCACCCAAAACACCTCTATTCATTCGCTCGAGTCACTTGTGCAACAGATATCCTGTTACTTTCAATATGACAATTATCATCTCCATTGGCAGGATTGCCTTGTTTACTCTCCTGGCCTTTGAGAGTGCCGTCCAGGCGAGCCCTATCCCCTACGACATCAGAGGAGACGTCATTATTTCCATCCCCAATGGCAGCCACACTCTCACCAGCAGATCAAACACCGATTCACTACCACCCGAGCTTACTGACACCAAAGCGAACGCGAGAGTGAGCGAGCTCAAGACGGTGCACAGAGTGCCGTCGCAAAGTCATCCTCCCAGGGGGCGGCGCACAAACATACCGAATCCCAATGGGCCGACATCTGAAGAGGCAGTCAACAGGACCAGGGACTATATCGAGGCTAAACCTGTCCGAGAACAAGGAAACCCAACTGCAGTGAAAGTCGGAAAGCCGCGTGGAAAACGTGAAGATAATGACGATAAATCAACATCTAGGCCGTCAACTCCACCCCCGACCCAGATGGCTGTTGATCATGTCAGTCCTATTCCCGGTGGCCCCTGGAAGCACCGGGAAGAGACCAAATCGAGGGAAACCATGAAACAGAGACTGAACACATTAACTATCGTACAGCCAGGACTTAACAGAGGCAATGTCTAAGCTGGTTTCTCAAGCTTGAATATGGGTTGACTGTACCAGATGAGGATAATGCATCAAAAGGTTTATACAGACTCGTGGATTAGTTATAGCCAGGATCTCTAACTAAATAAACACAAATGAATATGGGCTATCTGTCTTTGTAAGTGACCATTTGTTCTACTGTTTTGGCGAGTAAATATCAAAGAGAAACTACGCTGGCGCTTAACACTCCGCCCTCGTTCACAAGACCCTTTACCACGCATTCATCCACGGCTCTATCAACGCCCAGGATCATCAGTGCCTCGTCTGAGGAATCAATTTCCTTCTGCTGTTTTTTCCCCTTGGAGATCGGAGCAACACTCATGAAGTTGATATTAACCCCCCTTTTCCCTAAGATACTGCCAACAACTCCGATTTTTCCAGGAGAATCAAAGTTATGACATATCAAAAGCGTTCCTTCAGGGACAAAGGATGTTGCAAACCGGTCAATGCGTGATATCAGGGGTTGAGATTCAGAGCATGTCCCAGAAATGATATAGTCATGTTGATGGCTGGATCCCAAGTTATCCCCATTCACCTTTGCCGCCCGTGCGACTAAAGTTATGAGAGAGGAGTAAGAGTGGGATGGGGTATCCCTTGACCGCTGCTCGTTGACTATTATTCCTCGTTCTCGAGCAACCAGTTCAGCATTGACAATATTCACGTTCAGGTCTTTGCTGATAGGGGACATAAGCCCTTTGATAAGAGCAGCAAAGAGGGGTTTTGTATTGTTCATTTCTGAGACCTCGCCCTCATATATAAGATCAAAGGTATTCCGGTTCGAGAGGGGGCTTTTCGCTGACCCGTAATGCTGAGTGTAAATGCTTCCAATTTTCTCAACAAGGTGAACAAATGGCTGAAGCTTTTTGTATTCCTCCGGTAGTATAAGGGGTGCATTTACGGCACTTCGCGGTAGAGAGCCACCCAGGATCTGAAGCACTTGCTCGCACACGTCTATTGAGACGTTCTCCTGCGCTTCAACCGTAGAGGCTCCCAGGTGAGGAGTTGGAATTACCCGCGGATGGGCAATCAGTTGTGCTGAGGTCGAGCCAGACGTAGGGGGTTCTGTTGCAAACACGTCTAGCGCTGCTCCGGCGATGTGTCCGGTTTCAAGGGCATTCATAAGGGCTGGTTCGTCTATGGTCCCTCCTCTAGCCACATTCAAAATGCGTGAGCCTGGCTTCATCTGGGCCAATTCAACACTTGAAATCATGCCCTTTGTAGAGGCAATTAGCGGGGTATGAATAGTTAAGAAGTCAACAGTAGGGAGAAGCTCGGCGAGGGACGGCATCAAGGTGACCGAAGCAGATGCAGCGACTGCTGACGAGGCATAGGGGTCAACGGCATTGACGTTCATGCCCAACCCTTTGGCCAGGCGAGCCACGATCAAGCCGACTGTACAAGAGCATATTAGCATGTTTTTGCATTATTATCCCCTGCTTCGATGGTACTTTAGTTACCTTTTCCTAGTCCAATGATTCCCAAAGTTTTGCCCTGAACTTCCACGCCAACCAGCCGACTCCTTTCCCATTTATTGCTCTTCAGGCTCGAACATGCATCTGATATGTTCCTAGCCATACACATCAACAGCGCAATGGTATGCTCTGCTGCAGCAACATTATTGCCTGAGGGCGAGTTGACAACAACTATGCCTTGCTTGGTTGCGGCATCAACATCTTCAGGGGTAACATGTTAGCTAACTAACTAACCAGCTGTGCTCCAGAGTAACATAAATATGTTATCGGGAGGATGAGCTACTCACCAATATTGTCAACGCCTACGCCGGCTCTGGCAACAACCTTGAGCTTGGTTGCCGCTTGAAGGACGGATGCTGTCACTTTGGTAGCCGAGCGTACGAGGAGCGCTTCGTACTCCGGGATGATTTTCAGGAGCTCATCAGCCGTCAACCCCTGACGCTCATCGACGTCTAAGCTCGACTTTAGTAGAGCAAGGCCATCTGGAGATAGCTTCTCCGGCACGAGGACCTTAGGACGAGGTGGAAGACCGTTGGTTATAGGAGCTGTCATAATACTGACAGGGTAACTAGGTAGATAGCGTATATTCAGCTTTTCAACGCTTCAGGTGGTGGTTGGATAGCCAGATAGGAGACGATGAACATGATCAACAAGGGCCAAGGGTAACCCCCCCTCAGCAAGGAAATATACGTCTTTATATAGCAGCATTTGCAGGAGGACAAAGAGTCTGGCAGAGGAGAGCTGAATTCCACCTTCACGGCCGTCATACTTCACCAGAAGCCACCTTCGTGGCAAGCAAGGCTCTTGTCCCACCCGCTGAGGAAGAGCACTTTTCTGCGCTAGAGCCAATTAACTGTCGGCTATTTCGTCTGCAAGGCCAATAGCGAGCTGGCGTCGTTGGCGGATGAAGAAGAAACACTCCCGGAACATTCGTCATAGGGAAACAGATGCTCCTCGAGGGTCCCCAGAATATCGGGGTAGACATCCGCTCAGGGGCTCCGCCATAGTAAGCACTCAGTTAGCTTAGTAGTTGCTCAAGATAGATCTATATTCTGCGTTTCCAAGGTTGATGCAAAGCCTGGCAGACTGCAGGGGCCTGTATGAACAGTCTCCGCAAGCATGTAATATAGGCAATGTCACTGGCAGGAAGCCCCAGTTTGTGAAGGGGTTTTGTGTTTATGGCTGCGAAGATTCCGTATTGATATCAAACTAAGTGTTTATAGTTAGGTTGGTCACTCTCAAGGTTGATAGGCATGCGTGCATGGCAAAAATTTACGTGGGCTGCAGGCCAGAGTGCTGCAATTATCATCATCAAAGAGCCCGTTGGGTACCATTTACGGCGTAGTTATAATAATATCCATCATAGCACATCATAGCGTTGTCGTTTATATATAGTTACGTAAAGAGTTAAGGGAGGCGGGAAGGTGAAGAAGACCTAGTACTCCATGGACTCTTCAAACAACTTCCGCAGCTGTTCCCGCTCCTGTTCGAGTTCCTTGCTAAGGTTTGGAGCAAGGTTGAGTACTCTCTGCTGTGGAATCGTGCCCTCGATCAGCATGTCCAGATGCGAGTTGTCGAATCCCAGCGCCTTCAGACCCCTCGGCTGATCACCCAGACCAATCAGGAACTCTGCAATAGCTTCACTCAGGACCTCTCCGGCACTCTCCCTCTTGACATTAGAGATGTCGACACCAAAGATCTCAGCGGCCGCCAGGTGACGGTCTGGGTTGCTGGCCGCAGTGAAGCGGAAGACAGCTGGGGCAGTGACGGCGACAGAAACGCCATGGGGGATGATGTCGTGCTCTACCTCGTACCCCTTGTGCTTGTACCCGGGGTTCTGGCCTGATACAGGGTAACTCATACCGTGGCACAGGTGGACACCGGCGTTACCAAAGCCTACACCCGCAAGTGTTGCGGCGAGTAGCATCTGGCTCTGGGCTTCGTGGTCCTCGGGGTCCTTGACTGCTCGAGGGAGGTATTTGACTGTGCTGCGGAGTGATTGGAGGGAAAAGATGTCAGAGATAGGGTTGGCTCCCTGGTAGGCTGGTCGGTTGATAGGGTTGGTTGGGCGAGGCGTTCGCTCGTTGTACGGGATTGCCGTCCAGGACTCGAGGGAGTGACAGAGCACGTCGAGGCCGGAGGAAGCGTGCACTGCTGGCGGCATAGTCCGAGTGTTGAGGGGGTCGCAGATGCCGAGGGTTGGCTTCATGTTGCGATGTGCTACTCCGGTTTTGGCCTTTTTGTCGGTCAGGTCAAAGATGGCCGTTCCGGTGGTTTCTGCTCCAGTTCCCGCAGTGGTAGGGATGGCGATGAGCGGCTTCAGGGGTTTGGCAATAGGCAGACCCTTGCCCAGCGGAGCATTGACAAAGTCCAGGAAGTCAGCCTCTGAGTAGACGCAGTAGAGGTTCATCAGCTTGCAGGTGTCAATGACCGATCCTCCGCCTAGTGCACGTTAGCCACGGGATGTCTACCGCTTATTTTGATCGGATATCTCACCAACAGCAAGGAATGCATCCGGGTTATACGGTTTGGCAAAGGCAATGGCATCTTTGATCCTGTGGACTGTCAGTTGATATGTCTAGTTATAGATAGACACGGCAGATGGGAGGAAGCTCACGAATAATCCTTGGGCTCAACCCGGACTTGATCGTAGACCGTGAACTCGATGCCCTCCCTGCTGAGGCCCTCGACGGCCTGTTTCATAGCATTCAGCTTGGCCACGTTCTTGTCCGTGACGACGCAGACTCGCTTCGCACCCAGGTTTTTGCAGTCCATGCCGACCTCCTTCGTGGCTCCGGGGCCAAACCGGATGCTGGAGGCGGCCATCTCGAATGCGTACTCCTTCTGCTGCGAGGCATCGACGGGCGAGGCGAAGTTCCGGACATGTCTCGCTACCGCAGAGATCTGGCTGGGCTGCTGCTGCTGATGGTGGTGGTGGGACGGGTTCGAGTGGCATGGACAGCTCGGCGGATGGGTGTACTGGACAGTCCGGAGCAGGTTGAACGCCCTGGTGGCCGCCGAGGGGGCGACTCTGACTGCCGGGAGGACCATCCTGGCTGCAATCGTTCAGTACGGACGTCTTGACAGGTCGGCCGGTGAGGGCGAAAGAGTCTGGATGTTTTGGCTGTTGCGTTGCGGCGTCGTGGAGGCCGAGCTGGAAGCGCCGGGGCGGAGAGCCGAGGTTCTTTTTTTTTTTTTTAGTTAACGGTTATTGCGACGTCGAGGATAATCGTCTCGACGATACTTAGTTGCAACAGGCGGGACAACAGCAGACAGACGGGTGTATCGTGGCCAGCCTCGAGGACCAGACAGGCCAGGGCTGCATAGTTAGCCGGCTGCCGCAGCCAGCTAGTGAGCTAAACGAGGCTGTTGACGGGCGAGTGAGCCGGGATAGTCAGTCACGGCGGCAGCATGGGAGATGGCAATTTGATAGCCGGCGGTGCAGCAGAGACACCGGTCAGGACAGACATTGACGGCCAGCAGTCGAGAGCGAAGACGCTGGAGATCATGTTCATGCATGCCGCTGGGGCGTACAAAGCTGCCACGGCCAGTGAGAGTACTTATCAAGGCTGGCCGGAGGTACTTCCAGCCGCATACAAGAACGCATACAAAGCGAAGTACCCCCTATCAGGTGATATTATACGAGCCCCGTTGCCTGCCCAAAGATCGCGGACAGGCATCAGATTGAACGGCCTCAACTTCGTCTCAAACAGCATGCGCAGGAGCTGACGTCTCGAGCGCCAGGTGAACCATGAAGGCCTTTTTCGCCCGGAGCAGACACTCCCTGGTGCCCCAGCAGCAGCAGCAAGGATCTCCGCAGGACTCTCACGAGCAAAGTCCGCCCACTTATCCCCCCCAGACCTCAGAAGCGTACCTTGCTCCCCCTCCCCCATACTCCGAGACGGTTGGGACACCTTCGAACAGGCCAGGGGCAGCGGTGGTAGAAACCATTAACACAGATACCTCAGCATCAGGCAGCCAGACAGCAGCAAGACTCGCGAGCAACAACCGCAGACCGCTGGGAGACGACGAGGCGGCCCTGCATCTGGCCGTCAAGAACAACCATGTTAGCGTCGTGAGGGCATTGATCAAGGCCGGCGTGGATGTCAGCTGTGCAGACTCAAGTGGCTGGACGCCGCTGCAAAAGGCCGTGTCCCACCAACAGGAGAAGGCTGTCGAGGCTGTCAACGCCCTACTGATTGCCGGCGCAGATGTACTTGCCGCCAACAACGAAGGCATGACTGCCCTCGGAGTCGCAGCGTCCAAAAACCTGCAGGGAATATCGGACATCCTGCTCAAGGCCGGCGCTGAAATCAACCCGTCAGACCCCAAGACGGTTTCCTGGTCGCCCTACCTCCTAGCTGCATGGAGCGGTCATCTCGAGCTGATGAAGTTCTATCTGAACTGGGGCGCGGACGCTCATGCTGTCAACGACGGGGGCTGGAATGCCCTGCACATCGCTGTCAGACAGAACCATTACCCCGTCATTCGCTTTGTGCTTTCTACCAAGAAGCCTCTCAGCGTCAAGTCGGTCATCTATGATAAGCGGACTGCGCTGCATATTGCGGCAAAGTACAATAATCTCGAGATTGCTCGGTTTCTAATCAACTCTGGTACCCCAATCCATGCAAGAAGCGAGGCTGGATACACGGCTCTGCACGCCGCCACAAATGAAGGGCATGATGAGATAGCCCTGCTTCTCATCGAGAGCGGGTCAGACGTCAATGCCAAAGGAGACGATAGCTGGGCTCCCCTCGCCTTGGCTGTGTATCACGACAAGGAGTCCACTGTCCGGCTGCTCGTCGAAAAGGGGAAAGCTAATATCGAGATAAAGAACTCAAGCGGCTGGACCTCCTTGTTGCTGGCCGCTAGATGGGGCTATGTTGGTATTGTCAAGTACCTGATCGGGTGTGGAGCAAATCCAAATATTGTTTCGGTCCGGACCCGGACGGCTTTGCATATGGCTGCACTTCACCAGCATGGGGAGATAGCCAGGATGCTGGTCGGGTTGGATATAGATGTGAATGCAGCAGACGAGGATGGCTGGATGCCATTGCATATGGCTGCCAGGAACGGCGCAGAGAATATTGTCAGACTCCTGCTGGAGAGCGGTGCGGATCCCCATGCCGAGTTCAAGCCTGGCGGAGTCAGCTCGTCCCCTCTGCAGCTCGCCGCCGAAGAAGGCCACGAAAAGGTGGTTGAGATGATTCTCCAGGCTCGGAAGAGAGTGCAGAAGAAGTAGTCTTATGTTCATTTGCTTTTATTTTACATGTCGGCGGTTTTATACAATCACTACGAAGAGCGTGGAGTTGGAAGAAATTATATGAACTACGAAAGTCCTGATACATTATGAATTTGGTCAGTGACAGGATAGCAATAATAATAATAATATATATACGTATATAACCTGGATACAAGTCCAGGCTAAACCATCTTCTTCTCCACGTTATACCCAGACACTTCAAGCTCGACCCTGTATGTTTGCGGATAAGTAACGCCCAGCTCTAGCCTCTCGTGGGGCCATAGAGTCACATAGTTGTCTTCCCAAAACACAGGCGTAACCTCGTCACCAGTCGCCTTGTCCAGAAGACTCAGCCGTATGAAGAAAGCCGGGTGATTGGATTTATTCTGCAGAGAGACTCTGATTTTTGTTCGACCCTGGATGTTAACGCCCACCCGGACATCTGCCTTGCGTAGCTTGCCCAATGGCGTTAGGTCAGCATACTCAGTAACTGGAGTATGGTACCAGGTAGAATTGCCCCAGTCAAGCACGTCTTCTTTCCGAGGAAGCCAGTAAACGTTTCGGCTTAAAACTTTGGCTGCGTCGTCTTTCAGAATCAGGCGGAGGAAAGAAACGTCCCTGTTCTTGCCTAAGCCAGAAACTTTGGAAAGTTTCTGAGACCTAAGTGGTGTAGTGTCTGCCTTCATAATACTGTGGCTCAAGGACTTACCGTCGATATTAATTAGATCTACGGTAACACTGCGGGCACCGCTTTGGGAATTAGAGTGATTAATCAGGTAGACAACCTGCTCCCGGAAGTCAAATATGGCATGTTCAATGCGTGCTCCAGTTTTGGCTCCAAAGTAGCTAGCCAGGGGTTTCAGGAAATAGTCGAACAGAGCCCAGTGTAGATTTGGCCAGGCTGCGTTCAACATCCAGTATATTCTACCGTGCATTAGCGGACTGCCATTTTATAGGTTGAAAGAGGTGGGTATACTTACAAGCCAGATGTGGGATTGCTATGACTTTTGTATGCGGCGTACGCCTCGTACTGACTACGAGTTGCCTCATAGTCCATTAGCTGAGCTTTCAAGGAATAATCATCCAAGCTCTTTGGCTTGCCATATCGAGCGTAAAGCGCCTTGTTGTATATTGAGCGGTTACGGAATTGAGACACACCGGCAGACATATGATAGAGAACCTTGTTTGGCTGGGTCCATAGATCTTTCATGTCTTCCTCGGACAGAAACTTTTTCAAGCTACGAATCTCAGGGGTACCTACACCAGGCCCGAGTTCGGAACCAAACCCACCAGCCCCTGCAGCACCGAGTTTGTCACCAAACCAATATGACGGCGGCACCCAGTCATATGGACCGTCCATCTTCATGCCAGAGGGACCGAGAAGCTTGGGGAAACCTCGCTTTGCCGCTGAAGAGATTATTGCAGCATTCCAGTCCATACGCTTGAGAGCGTCAACATATATATTAGTAGCCTGATCATTTGGCCAGTAATCAGATCCAACTAGGAAAGCAAGCATGCTAGGATGGGTTTGCATCATCGCGGCCTCATGTAACATGCTGGAATTGGCGATCGGGTAATCCACATCTGTCCAAAATTGCCCGAATCCTTCCGTGTTGTATTTCCACCCCTCCCAGTGATCGCAGCATTCCCAGCCGCTTATGATCATGAGCCCCATCTTATCTGCGATGTCGTAAAGCTCAGGGTGTTCTTGTTTGCCTTCAAGACGAACAGTGTTCATACCCATGTCTAGGATATATTGGAATATGATTGTGATCCTTTCAACGGTGAATCGTAAAAAGATATCAGACGAATATCCTGCACCCATGACGAAGAAAGGCTTGCCATTAACTTTGAATTCTACGGTATCTTGGTCGTTTACTCTAGACTCGATATGCCTGATACCGAATTTGCGTCTCTTGGGCCCATCGGACTTTCTTTTGCCGATAAAGGCGGATATCTGGGCGGTGTATAGAGGTTGATCACCCCACGAAGCGGGCCACCATAGACTAGGGTTCTGAATGGTGGTATTTAATTTTATGGTTTGCTGCTCGCCCGGCTTGAGGGTAAAAGGAGCGGAGAGTGATTGCCTCTGATTTTGAACTTCCTCAACGAAACCCCTGATGCTCCCTCTGATGGTCTCTTCGCCGATATTGTGGACATCAGTTTTGATCGTCAGACTTGCGCCAGCCTCTTCAACTCCAGGAACAAAATCAGTGGCCACGCGTGGGCTGGAGAGTCTTATAGGGCCACTTTGGGAGAGTTCGACATCACGCCAAACGCCGGTGCCATTGTCTGGTGGATATGGATTCCAGTCAACGAAGCCCAAAGCCAAGTCACGAAGATAGTTGGTTGGATAGGCTTTAATCAATAGACAGTTCCCACCCTTGAGTACAAATTTGGTAACATCGTATTGATGACCTGCATAAGAACCAGTCTGGACATCCTTCGAGGCAACTCGGTGGCCGTTTAGGTATATATCACCCTTGGAAGATATACCATGCGTGTGTAAGGTGAAATGTTGTCCGCTTCCAGGCTGTAACGTGAACTCTTCCCTATACAGCCAAGCAACATCACGAAAGTCGGCGTCAGGTAGAGACTTGAAGTTGTCAGAAAAAAAGAGGTGCGTCTCGTTGTAAACACCGTGTTCAAGTAGACCGGCCATCACGGTACCCCGCGAGCCCATTCGGTACCATGAAGAGACGTCAGCGCCAGTAAGTGAGAGACTAAAGATGCCGCTTGAGACATGGCGCTCAGACTGTAGATACCACCCCGGGATAACTTCATGCTGGCCAGCGGCGGAGACGAGGGAACGTAAAGGTGAAAGCGCCGAGACCCCTGGAGTCAGCAAAAGCGCTGAAATGGCAGCAAGCTGGAATACAAACCACATCTCTGATCACAGTAATCCCATACAGGAGAACAGTAACAGAAGCGATATTCGAGAATGTCTCTTCGACTGGCGGTCAACCCGGATATTTCTTGGTAGACAGGTCAGGTCACACAAATCTTCGACTACCACAACAAACATATCATGCAGACCTTTGGTACTCAAGGATGTCACTTTAGCCTGTTGGCTGTGAGCAGAGTAACATGAACAAGGGCAGGGTAATATGCTTGTCAACTTTGCCAGATACCAGGAGATGCCACCCTCTATCGCAACGTCTCCTGCTGTAGGGTCTCCCACGACAGCTAGGCAGCAGGATATGAGGGTGCCAGCTACCGGGCCTATTACCTGGAACAACTTGTTAGTACAGTTTAATACCGTCGCTCTAGATCTTCTGTTGGCGTGCAGACTCGAAGTCTAGGGAACTGGGGTGTTAGCAGCTCTTTCTTGTTATTAGTTAGTTGGACTCAAAATCCAGGCATTGCACTGCTTTATACAAGCAGAGAAAGGCCAAATACGCAGTTAGCCAGGTGAGTTCGGGCGAATTCATCTCATTCTCTGTCTCATAGCATCTTCTATTCTTCTTCATCTTCTCTCCTGTCTTTTCAGTCCTGGATATCCTCATATTCTTTTCCTCGTCCGTTTCCTCGTCAGTGCGAATAAAGTAGCGTCACGTGGGGGCTAATGGATCAACTTTATACCGAATTCGAAGTAAGTCACGTGAAGCCGCTCTCGGACGCGAGCTGGAACCTTATCTCAGGCCCGGAGGCAACCTCTAGTAAAAAAAAAAAAACCTATAGATTAAAAATACAATCATATCAAATAGAGGGCGATAACATAGTATTCTTTACTATAGCCCCAAATCCAAATGTGCAATAGCAGTACAGATTGTCCGTCAGTGTCAGGCCATTTCTGATACAGTTGGAGCTCCCGGAGCGGTACAGTCGACACTTGGGATAGAAGGCCGAAATGGCGCCGGAAGGAGGCAAGCATGGTGGGCGGCCGCAGAAGAAGCTTGTATGATGACATCTCCCCAGACACATGCTGTTCGGGCTAGGGTATAACTAACTGGAGTAATATAGAAAGGACTTCAGCGGCTGCGGTGGTGGTGCGAGGTGTGCCAGAAACAGACGCGCGATGAGAACGGCTTCAAACAACATACGCTCAGTGAGAGTCACGTCCGGGCGATGCAGATAGTCGCGGAGAATCCAAAAAAGTTCATCGAAGGTTACAGCAAAGAGTTTCAACATGACTTCCTACAGTTACTTCGAACGTCACATGGCGAAAAGCCGATCCACCTGAACCGTTTCTATCAGGAGTACATTTCGGACAAGACGCATGTACACCTTAACAGCACTAAATGGTCGAGCCTGACGGAATTTTCCAAATACCTTGCAAGGGAAGGAATATGTCGAGTAGAAGAGAAGGAGGATGGGATATTCGTGCAGTGGATTGACAACAGCCCCGAAGCTATTCGTCGACGAGACCTAGTGCAGCGAGCAAACCGCCTAGAGGAACAGCAGGCATCAGAGGAGAAGGAAATACTACAGCAGGTCGAAAGAGCCCGGCAGAACACGGCCGTTTCTACTGAACCCGAGAAACCCGCAGAACTCGCCAAGGAGAAGTGGACAGACTTTAGCCTTAATTTGAAATCGTCCAGCAACTCGCCCAAGCCAACAACATCGACAGGCCAAGGGAAGAACAATGAACAGCAGGATCCTTCATCAAAGTCCGTTGATAAGCCTGTTAAGAAGCCCAACGTCTTTGGTATGAAGCGAAAACAACCGTCCGGAATTAAGCCTGCTTCGGAACCGCCTAAGAAAATGACTGAGATAGAAAGGATCATGAAGGAAGACATGGAACGGAAAAAACGACGACTCGTTAAGTGAACTATGGACAATAAAGATTGTCCGTACTCCTTCATCCTACCCTGTTAACCCCGCGTATTGAACGCCAGAGACCGAATCTATCTACAATTTTACAGGCTGCCATTTCGCAGCATCACTAGCCCTCAACTTGTTCTACATCACAATGGGGCTTTCACCGTCAACTACCAGTTGGTATACCAGTATCAATCCTGGTAGTTATTATCTCTCAGGACTATCAATTTGGTAGCCTGGCTAGTGAACTCAAGCAGGCCAAATCTTCCACGAACCATGAAGTCAGAAGGTGCAATAACAAGACCATACATTTTACCGCGCCCATGGTCAGCTCGTTCATGTTGTCTTTCCGTTCCTTTAAACTCCCATTGGCTTATGCTGATATGTTAATTCTCGGAGGCAACCGACAACAATTGCACCAACTTAACAATCTCCGGGTATCACGAGCCATTCCTGGTTCTTGGCGCCTGAGAAACGATCATGAGAATGGCACACGTCCTGTTTGATGAAATATCCATCAGGCTGTTTGTGGCTGGCTCTACGCTGGCTGCGTACGTTGAGACACATGTACGAATAAATATAGCACAGCGTGTATTAAAGAACCGCTATCAGACCTAAATGACTATTACACTTACGCAAACAACAAATTATCTCTTCTGTCTTGCTTTCAATCTTCATCTTCAACTGTGTCTATAGCTAATGGTTATATGGGGGCTTCATCTAATAGCTACACCTTGATCTAGGTCTTCGAGCTTGCCTGGGCCAAACTTCGGGCGAAAAAGCGGAGCCCCTCACCAATGTTGCATCATAGATTTATAATCACTTTCTCGCTTCAACTTGAACTCCACCAGCCGAATATCTTATACCACTGATAGTTTATTACCTCTTTACCTCTCTGCAGCTTCTTCTTTAGCGCCCTCGACAAAGACTTAAGGCAGCTCGCTCCTGAAGGTTGGCTAACTGCTTGCTATCTCCTTCTGCCCTTGGCCAGCTAATTCTAATGATGACCAACAGGATCACTCCAGCACCACCGGATAGAAGCAATAGTCAAGATGACAGACCCATCGAAGTATAAGTTTCATCGTAGGTGACGACGTCTTTGACCGGTTCTGTAAAGCTGCTTACTGTCTGCAGATACGATGCTTCGGGTGAAAGACCCGAAAAGATCTCGTAAGTCTACTAATTGTTTACAAGAAACACCAGTGACAATAACTAATGAGATTTACTAGTCGAATTCTACAGTTTCCTTGGTCTCACCCAAATCAACCGACTCAATTTTGAGGATGCCAGATTCTCGCTCTATTTTCTCGCATACGATAGCCCCAAGGCACTGAACACCGGCAAGCACTGGACTGATAGGAACGGAGTCCTCGAACTGACTCACAACTACGGCACAGAGAATGATGATAACTTCTCTGTTGTGAACGGCAACACGGAACCGTATCGCGGGTTCGGTCACATTGCTGTCTCGGTGGAGAATATCGAGCTAGCATGCAAGAGACTTGAGGACGCCGGGTATCCGTTCCAAAAGAAACTAACTGACGGCCGGATGAAGCATATCGCGTTTGTCAAAGACCCCGATGGGTACTGGGTTGAACTTATCCGCCGCGGGGATGTAGATGAAGCCGTGGCCGAGTCGGACCCCCAGTCGTACCGTTTGAACCATACCATGCTGCGAGTCAAGGATAAGGACGCCTCCCTTAAGTTCTATCAGGAGGTCATGGGTATGACGCTGCTAAGGACATCTGAGGCTCCTGAGGCGGGGTTTAATCTGTATTTCTTGGGGTATCCCGCGTCGAACCCGCCGATGGAGAAGGAGGCTCGTAACCCGATTGCCAACTGGGAGGGACTACTTGAGTTGACGTGGAACTATGGCACGGAGAAACAGGAGGGCAAGGTGTACCATGACGGTAATAGCGAGCCCCAAGGATTCGGCCACATCTGTACGTCCCCTTTTCAATCCCCACACGCTGACTGACTATGGTTTTGTGGAGTCTAACATGAACAGGTATGGTGATGGACAACCTCGATGCCGCGTGTGCCCGGTTCGAAGAGCTGGGGGTGACGTGGAAGAAGCGTCTCACAGATGGGAGGATGCACAATATCGCCTTTCTGCTAGATCCGGATGGCTACTGGGTTGAAATTGTCCAAAACGAGGCATTGAAGGGACAGTAAACCTGTCGTGCTTCTTCATACAGCCACATCATCTACATATTCCTGTAACTGTGTATCCGTACTTGCTCTGTAATATGTGGGGTTGTGGTACGTGGTTGGTATGTGATACTTTGTATAATAGTATGTACCCCACGGAGATAAGGTGACAATTATTGGCTGTCTGGTACCAGCAGCCTGGTCGCCAGATCTATACCAGCACTGCACGCTATGGCACATGCATTACTCACTAGTTACGGCGGACTAAATGGACCATCGGGTCAAAATTCATTTTCATAACCAACTTACACAAAAACACGCAGAGAAGTAGTTTTCTAAGTCTATAATTAAGAAATAAAGAGATGTTATTAGATAAGAGTATAGAATTTATTACTAAATAGAGCTCCCTATATTTTACCTTACTTACCTAAGTATCTTTTTTCTTATAAGGACACACTCTTCCTTCTTCTTTGGCCCACGGCCTAGCTTCTCCCTAAGCTTTCCCGCTATATCTACTCCCCCCCCAAGTCTACTCCTTTCTAAGCCTATTTATTCTCTCGGTATCTTCTCTAGGCCTCTCTTACTAGAGACTTCTCTTACTTAAGTCTTGCGAGTTTAGCGAGAAGGCTTAGATGGGTAGGCTTAAGAGAGAGTATCTAGGCTAGGGAGCTAACTTAGGGAGAGAAGCTAGGCTACGGGCTAAAGAAGGAAGAGTATGCCCTTAAGAAAAAGGGTACTTACGTAAGGTATTTAAATATATATCTATATAAGAAGGTCCTATTTAAAATACCTCTATTATTATTGGCTATATGGAATTATCTCTTACGAGGCAAAAACGAATTTTGACTCGATGGTCCACTTAGTCCACCGTACTAGTGTGCGGAGAAGTAGTACAACATAAAGTAAACAATATAAGTCTCGGTATTCTATCCCTCCTTTAGAAAAGGCCAGCGCAAAACGCGGAGGAGTAAATAATATCATATCTCAGGAACGGCTACACCATGTTAACGCCCAATATTTGTAAGTTTACCTTTTTACCCCCCTGTAGTAAGCTCCGTGCTAAGTATGTGTGTAAGTGTGCACAAGCTGCATGGTTAGTCAGGTCGTAAGGCATAAGCCAAGCGTACATCGAAACAGTCAGCCTTCCGCTCGAAGCATTGTCAATATGAGATGCCCGCCCGCCTTGTCTAAACTAGCCTCCCGCCTATCAAGGTATCACGTCTAGCTCTTTTACCCCCTATGTCTCTGTCTATATCTTCTTGTGTTATCGTCGCCAGTGCTCGTCTTCATCTTATCTTATCCATCTGCGTCTATTTATATCCATCACGTGCCCTGTTTCCCTTCCCGTGTCGGCCCGATCCGCTCCGTATGACTAATATCACGTGATAAACCTTCTTTTTTATGCTATTTTGCTTATCTTATTTGATTTTATTTTTCGCGCGCTTTTGGCGACAAAATCAATAAAAAAAGAAACGAAGCAGCCGCAAAAGAAAAAACAAAACCGGGGACAAAGAGCAGAGACGAACACTGTCAAGTAAGACGAAGAACGAGATCTCCGGCTAGTTGGTTTGTGGTAGGTCTCTTTTTGCTCGGCTCCGGTGACCGTACAGAGAGTTGCCTGACTGCTCCGTTACCCCATAATTATTAACTTGCTCCATTGGATGTATCATGTCCTGTTCGTACCTCCGATGTATAGATGCGTTTTGCCGCCACACGAGACGCTGTCTGCCCTACACGTGTCTGCCTTCCCTTTTCTCGATGGGCCGCCGCTGGCGCGAAGTTCGCTGCAGGCTGGTTAGCGCAGCGAGCGAGGGAGACAAGGCACATGGATGGCGGATGGAGGATCTATGATCGTGGACACAGCAGCCGGGGAACGCAGAGATGCTTATATAGCACCTCGTCCGTCTCGAGCTGACACGAGATGGCTCTCCCTAGCTGTCCCAAGTTGCTGTCTCTCCGCCTGCGTCTCTGCCTCTGCTGCTGCTGGTGCTGCCCTTGCACGTCCTCTGCTTTTTTTACTCCTGATGGGGCGTTCGACAGCGCGCTCCCCCTTATACAACTGCCCAGCTCACTGCTGTAGTTGTTTCTCGTGCTGCTCCTGCTGCTATCTCCCTGACCCATGGCTGAAACTGCCTGCCAGAAGCCCGCCGGCCCTCCCTCGTCGCCGATTCTCTGCACGCCCGCAGACTTCGTCCCCGTCTGGGCCAGAAGTCACGTGAAATACGCCCAGAACCTGCTCGAGCTGAGCGACGAACCGGTCGAGTACGACGACGACGAGGACTACAACGACAACTGCTTCTTCTTCCCCGAGGACTGCGTCTACAATCCGCCCCCAGACCTGGCCAGCAACCCGGATGCCTCTGTGGCCGACGAGACAGACTCGGACTCGGACAGCCTGCTCCTCCAAGACGACCTTAACGGCGCCGACGACACGGACGACGCCATGGCTCCCGCACTGCCGGAGATCAAGATGCTCGACACAACGGCCCTCAGCGACCTACTTTCCGACAATCTCTCGCCGCCAGAGATAACTTCTATATTGTACGTCGTTTTTGCGTTTGATCTCGCTTTGATTGCTTCGATGGTAGTCCACTTTCAGGTCGCTAATATCACACCTCGTAGTATATTTGCTTCGAACGGTGCAGTCTTTGCGCATGCTTCTCCCCTCCCCCAGCGCAGAATACGGAACCTGTGCGCTACGTACGGAGCTGCGTACAAGTCGTACGCTGTCAAGGCTCCCAATGGCAACCTCACCGGTGTCAGCGCCTCCATTCACCCCTCCGCCTTTTCCAGCACTCCATCCATCCCACTGGGTAACGTGGGCTCCATCATGTTCGAGATGCAAGATATGGTGGCTGTGGTCACCAAGATAGCAGACAAGGTCCTTCTTGCCGTCGTTGGGCCTACTCGCATCGTTGAAGAGCAGCCTGCTTCTCGGACGACACAGCAAGGAGGAGATCTTACTGGCAGAGCGAGAATGATTGCAGGCTCAGCAGCCAGCGACTCGGAACGAACTGTCAAGGCCGCAGGAGATTCATCCTTCTCCACCCTTACCGCTCTTGAGAACCCCAAAGCCGAACACGTATCTTCGAAACTCGCCTCTTCGGCCCCAAATCCTGCCTCATCTCTCTCCAGCCTAACCTCACCCACACCCCCCTCCGACGAGCAGATCGAACAGGCTGAGATAAGGCAGGATGAAGACATCATTCACCAGGCGCTGCGGGCCCAGTGGGCTATCGATCGTAGTCACGACCTCGATCGGTTGGCGGGGCTCAATTTGGCTTCCAGCCCGCATATCCTACTCGCCCTCGAATCAAAGTCAGCCGCGCTGGGCAAATTTTTGGGCAACAAATTAGCAGACCTAGAGAGTCCCGAAGACTTTTGATCTATCACTATTTTTCTTCATACCCCTTTTATCATACATGGCATTCTCACAGCGGTTGCTCTTATGTTTTTCCTGCCTGTTTATTGTATGTGTGCACACTTACCATCAGCCATCATTGTATTCTACCTTATCCCTAGGGCTCCATTGAAAATTAATACTAATCTCCCCCACTCTCCCTCCTTTCTGGTGGGTGTACATATACATTTCCCATTTCCAGCTTGAGCTGTCAGCATTCGATATATTAATAAATAATGCATTAGATGACTCAGGTCATGAGGCTAACGGGTGACTTCAAAATGCTAGGCCAAAAAGCACACCAAATGTAAAGCAAAAAAAAAGAAAAAGCAAAAGAAAGAAAGATCGAGAGGAAAAAAATCCGATAGGTTGGATCACAGATAACAAGTCAAGACTGACTGCATGACTGTAAGATTTTTGCCTATTTTTTCTCCTCCGTGGGGACGGAAACAACTCCTTCTTCCTGTCCGGTTGGCTTCAGTGTGGTGCCCTCGGTGCCAGTTGTTGTAGCTGTCGTTGGCAGTGGCTCAGTAGCTGGGGCAGTCTCTCCAGCCGGAACTGGGGCAGAACTGGGGCAGTCTCAGTCGTGGCTTCTCACCACTGGCGGCGTC